TTGGACTACATGGACGACTCTCTACTCCCAGTAGAAGCGGAGATATCGACGGATGAAGACTGGATATCGACGGAGATAGGTAGGAAAACTTTAACCTTCGATATCTCCTAAACGGTTAGAGGTACAGGCTTCGGACAGGTACCAAATTAAAGCCCTTTCAAAACCCTACATTTTGGACTACATGGACGACTCTCTACTCCCAGTAGAAGCGGAGATATCGATGTATGAAGACTGGATATCGACGGAGAAAGGTTGGAAAACTTTAACCTTCGATATCTCCTAAACGGTTAGAGATACAGGCTTCGGACTAGTACCAAATTAAAGCCCTTTCAAAACCCTACATTTTGCACTACATGGACGACTCTCTACTCCCAGTAGAAGCGGAGATATCGACGGAGAAAGGTTGGAAAACTTTAACCTTCGATATCTCCTAAACGGTTAGAGATACAGGCTTCGGACAGGTACCAAATTAAAGCCCTTTCAAAACCCTACATTTTGGACTACATGGACGACCCTCTACTCCCAGTAGAAGCGGAGATATCGACGGATGAAGGCTGGATATCGACGGAGAAAGGTTGGAAAACTTTAACCTTCGATATCTCCTAAACGGTTAGAGATACAGGCTTCGGACAGGTACCAAATTAAAGCCCTTTCAAAACCCTACATTTTGCACTACATGGACGACTCTCCACTCCCAGTAGAAGCGGAGATATCGACGGAGAAAGGTTGGAAAACTTTAACCTTCGATATCTCCTAAACGGTTAGAGATACAGGCTTCGGACAGGTACCAAATTAAAGCCCTTTCAAAACCCTACATTTTGGACTACATGGACGACTCTCTACTCCCAGTAGAAGCGGAGATATCGACGGATGAAGACTGGATATCGACGGAGAAAGGTTGGAAAACTTTAACCTTCGATATCTCCTAAACGGTTAGAGATACAGGCTTCGGACAGGTACCAAATTAAAGCCCTTTCAAAACCCTACATTTTTGGACTACATGGACGACTCCCTACTCCCAGTAGAAGCGGAGATATCGACGGATGAAGACTGGATATCGACGGAGATAGGTAGGAAAACTTTAACCTTCGATATCTCCTAAACGGTTAGAGGTACAGGCTTCGGACAGGTACCAAATTAAAGCCCTTTCAAAACCCTACATTTTGGACTACATGGACGACTCTCTACTCCCAGTAGAAGCGGAGATATCGATGTATGAAGACTGGATATCGACGGAGAAAGGTTGGAAAACTTTAACCTTCGATATCTCCTAAACGGTTAGAGATACAGGCTTCGGACAGGTACCAAATTAAAGCCCTTTCAAAACCCTACATTTTGCACTACATGGACGACTCTCTACTCCCAGTAGAAGCGGAGATATCGACGGAGAAAGGTTGGAAAACTTTAACCTTCGATATCTCCTAAACGGTTAGAGATACAGGCTTCGGACAGGTACCAAATTAAAGCCCTTTCAAAACCCTACATTTTGGACTACATGGACGACCCTCTACTCCCAGTAGAAGCGGAGATATCGACGGATGAAGGCTGGATATCGACGGAGAAAGGTTGGAAAACTTTAACCTTCGATATCTCCTAAACGGTTAGAGATACAGGCTTCGGACAGGTACCAAATTAAAGCCCTTTCAAAACCCTACATTTTGCACTACATGGACGACTCTCTACTCCCAGTAGAAGCGGAGATATCGACGGAGAAAGGTTGGAAAACTTTAACCTTCGATATCTCCTAAACGGTTAGAGATACAGGCTTCGGACAGGTACCAAATTAAAGCCCTTTCAAAACCCTACATTTTGGACTACATGGACGACTCTCTACTCCCAGTAGAAGCGGAGATATCGACGGATGAAGACTGGATATCGACGGAGAAAGGTTGGAAAACTTTAACCTTCGATATCTCCTAAACGGTTAGAGATACAGGCTTCGGACAGGTACCAAATTAAAGCCCTTTCAAAACCCTACATTTTGCACTACATGGACGACTCTCTTCTCCCAGTAGAAGCGGAGATATCGACCGAGAAAGGTTGGAAAACTTTAACCTTCGATATCTCCTAAACGGTTAGAGATACAGGCTTCGGACTGGTACCAAATTAAAGCCCTTTCAAAACCCTACATTTTGCACTACATGGACGACTCTCTACTCCCAGTAGAAGCGGAGATATCGACGGAGAAAGGTTGGAAAACTTTAACCTTCGATATCTCCTAAACGGTTAGAGATACAGGCCTCGGACAGGTACCAAATTAAAGCCCTTTCAAAACCCTACATTTTGGACTACATGGACGACTCTCTACTCCCAGTAGAAGCGGAGATATCGACGGATGAAGACTGGATATCGACGGAGAAAGGTTGGAAAACTTTAACCTTCGATATCTCCTAAACGGTTAGAGATACAGGCTTCGGACAGGTACCAAATTAAAGCCCTTTCAAAACCCTACATTTTGCACTACATGGACGATTCTCTACTCCCAGTAGAAGCGGAGATATCGACGGAGAAAGGTTGGAAAACTTTAACCTTCGATATCTCCTAAACGGTTAGAGATACAGGCTTCGGACAGGTACCAAATTAAAGCCCTTTCAAAACCCTACATTTTGGACTACATGGACGACTCCCTACTCCCAGTAGAAGCGGAGATATCGACGGATGAAGACTGGATATCGACGGAGAAAGGTTGGAAAACTTTAACCTTCGATATCTCCTAAACGGTTAGAGATACTGGCTTCGGACAGGTACCAAATTAAAGCCCTTTCAAAACCCTACATTTTGGACTACATGGACGACTCTCTACTCCCAGTAGAAGCGGAGATATCGACGGATGAATGCTGGATATCGACGGAGAAAGGTTGGAAAACTTTAACCTTCGATATCTCCTGAACGGTTAGAGATACAGGCTTCGGACTGGTACCAAATTAAAGCCCTTTCAAAAACCTACATTTTGGACTACATGGACGACTCCCTACTCCCAGTAGAAGCGGAGATATCGACGGATGAAGGCTGGATATCGACGGAGAAAGGCTGGAAAACTTTAAACTTCGATATCTCCTAAACGGTTAGAGATACAGGCCTGGCTCTGGTACCAAATTAAAGTTCTCACAAAAACCTACATTTTGCCGTAAATGGCGACTCTCTACTCCCAGTAGAAGCGGAGATATCAACGGAGAAATGTTGGAAAACTTTAATCTTCGATATCTCCTAAACGGTTAGAGATACAGGCCTGGCTCTGGTACCAAATTAAAGTCCTTTCAAAACCCTACATTTTCGACTACATGGCAAACTCTCTACTCCCAGTAGAAGCGGTGATATCGACGGAGGAAGGCAGGATATCGACGGAGAAATGCTGGAAAACTTTAAACTTCGATATCTCCTAAACGGTTAGAGATACAGGCCTGGCTCAGGTACCAAATTAAAGTCCTCTCAAAACCCTACATTTTGCCGTAAATGGCGACTCTCTACTCCCAGCAGAAGCGGAGATATCAACGGAGAAAGGTTGGAAAATTTTAATCTTCGATATCTCCTAAACGGTTAGAGATACAGGCCTGGCTCTGGTACCAAAATGAAGTCCTCTCAAAACCCTACATTTTCGACTACAATGGCGACTCTCTGCTCCCAGTAGAAGCGGAGATATCAACGGAGAAAGGTTGGAAAACTTTAATCTTCTATATCTCCTAAACGGTTAGAGATACAGGCCTGGCTCTGGTACCAAAGTGAAGTCCTTTCAAAACCCTACATTTTCGACTACAATGGCGACTCTCTACTCCCAGTAGAAGCGGAGATATCAACGGAGGAAGGCTGGACATCAACGGAGAAATGTTGGAAAACTTTAATTTTCGATATCTCCTAAACGGTTAGAGATACAGGCCTGGCTCTGACACCAAATTAAAGTCCTCTCAAAACGGGAGCACAATCTCGGCAACGTTGCGAATCAGAGCGAGATGGAGCGAACACATTCCCTCTCTCTCTCTCTCTTTCGCTTGGATCGTCAAAACTAGCCGAGCGGAGGGTGGGACTTCAGACGGATAGACGGGAGCAGTTTCTCTGCGTTTGTGCCGACTACATTCTTACATAGAATCGTGCGGCAATTGAAAATGTTTAAGCATATACCCTGATGTTCTATCTGTTGCGTATGACGTGTGTGTGTGTGTGTGTGAGTGAGTGCGTATATGCACACGTACGTCACGCACACTTTCAATGCAACACATGCACACGGACACAACTGCGCTAAAAAACGCCTGCCGGAGTATAAATAAATACTTACGTAACGCTGAAATATTTTGGAAAAATAATTTTGGGTACACACAAAATATTATCTTATTATCATATATTTATATATCGATATAAATCGTATATAATCTTCATGATATTAATCATATACAATCTCAATTCTTATTTTTTTTGTGCATGTTAACATGCTAATTCATGTTACAAATGCATAACAATGCGCGAGACCGTGCTTGTCAAGTACGCTATTATGGTTGTAGCACGGACATAAACCGCCTGAAAGTGGATGTAGCACGGACAGCCACCAGATGCAGGTTTTACCGTCGAGACCTAAAAGTGTATGTAGTTCCCCTCTCAAATCGTAGTTCCCCTCTCAAAATGGATGCAGATAGCGCCCATTCCCAGTGCGAAAAATCGATGTCGCCGAAAACGCCGTGTTGGCCGCTCTCAGCTTCCTCTCTGTTACAACATATATTGTAGACTAGGCCTAAAGAAAGTAGAGTGAGCAAGAACCGTGCACGCTTTGCCGTTACCATTAGGACGTAGTAGGATGTAGTGTGCACACATGTTCTCAGGGGACGCGTTGAAATTTGGCAGAAAAACGTTCCGTTCTCGGCGGCCGCTCTCAGGTTTCTGTACTGTGCTGCCGCCTTCTCGTTGTAGGGAATTCACTCTAGGTTTGTTCTCTTTTTAGCCGAGGAATCGATTGCTCGTCCTTTCCTCTAGTGTGAGTTCATGAAGAGTGAAAATCTTCGAATTTGAAAGCATTGAGAAATTTACTGTAGAGGAAGCGACTCAAATCAAACTCAAATCAAAGAATTTGCTTGAGCCGCCTGTCGCAGTGCCAAAAAGTGAGCGCCCAAGATGGATTCGGTGGCTCAGCAATTTTTGCAAGCCTACCCAAATAGGTCCTGAGCGAATAAAGAAGCTTGTTTCTTTACAAACCGCATGGAAACACTGTCTACAGGTAAACGGAGAAGGCATATACTTGACGCTCGACGAAAGAGAGGAGAAAAGTGATTGCGAAGTGGTGTGGATAAAGCGCACCCGCAACGAACGAACCTAATTATGCCGGCATTTGGCGAACCTGTCGCACGATCAGTGTCCCTCTCTTCCGACCTAACTTGTCGATGCCCAGTCTCGGCGAACCACGTTTCGTCCTTGGGACTGTGCGCGTTCGGCGTCGTGATATCGCGGGCATTGCGCGAGAGATCAGCCAAGCGGCAGCGCCAAGCGGCGAAAGGCGGTGGGGCGCAAGGAGGGAAAAAAACAGGGTTAACAGAAGAATCTGGGGGAATCTGGCGGCAGTGCGTGGTACGTCGTCGTCTTAGTCGGTGTTGTTCGTTCGCTCGCTCGCTCGCTCGCTCGCCCGTCCGTTTGTCGTCGTCCTGCAGTGTGTTGATAGTGTATCGCCCACATATATTTACACACGGCGCACTGTGCGCGTCCCGGTTGATGTGCTTCGTCGATACCACGTCGGACGAGAGTGTGCACGGCGTATAATTCGCGCGTATCGTCGCGTTCGGTTTTTCTTTGATTTCTCTTCAGTTCCGTCGCGCGATCGTCGAGCTCGTGAAGGCGATTTTGCGAACGGTGCATTTCGTCGACGTGCCTGACTGTGACTTTTGAACGAACGACTTCAGACACGCACTTCGCGACACACGCACCACGTATCACCGCGAGTTTCGTCCTCCTCGCCGTGACTGTCCGCAACCTGGTCGGCGATTTCGTCTCGTTTTGTCTTCTCTTCTCGAGTTCCCCGCTACGCCGACTGTAAAAGTGCATGCTGGCGTAGGAAAGAAGTGACAGACAGCGGACTTGTGTGTGTGCGCTTCGCGGCCACGGAGGATGTTGGATCGCGACACAGCGATACATCTCGTCGCCGGAGGGTGAGCTTCATTTTCATCCTCGACTGACGCAACAGCAGCCGTGCGATCGCGCGCGTCGTCCCGGCGCCGAATTTCTCGCATCTTTACGTCACGGCCTTGACTCGCTTGTAGGGCCGTTTGTCCTAACCTTCCGTATTACGCGATCATACCGATCGGTCCGCGTGCTGCGAGCATCGGTCTCGATGCTGGCAGTGTGTCGTAATGAAATCGCAAACCAGTTCGAATTTGCGGAGGACTGTGCTTGCCTGTCCGAAGTGCGTATTTAGCAGCACGTGTATATACGGGGTGTCTCAGAGACCTCTCGAGCTCCACGAGCTCCATGGACAATCTGGTATCTCCCCCGTGTTTCCTTCACGAGAATCGTACGTGATAAATCGTAGCTGCGAGCAAACTCTTACATCATTCGACAGACGGAGAGAGACTCGTTTTGTTTCGTTGTCGAATAGCCTGATGTAGAAGAATGCTGCACACAAACTGCGTAATGTAAGTGTTGAGAGACGAGATTGGCCAATCTTATCAGGTCTAGGAGGCAGAGAAATGTTAGCGACAAGAGCGTTATCGTCATGACATCGACTAATTTTGTTTTGTTATTCGGGCAAAGCGACGATCACGAGTAATCACACCGTGCGCGAATATTTCCGAATTTCTCCGTTGTTATCGCTCCCCAACGCGGTTCATCATCCGTAGTGACACGTGACGAAACATGCTCGCATGAGTAACGTGGCGTGCGGAACGCGGATCGCGTACGATGCTCACTTTTAGCGGTGGATTGAACACATAACATGCGACGACATTGTCGCTTATTTTTACTCGGGTCGACTGAGGAGATTCAAATCTCGCTGGAATTTTAATTTAATAAATTCCAGCTAGCTCCAGGGGGGATTGTTTCAGTCCCTGAATGTGCAGATGTTTACATAAAAATATATCTTTGGGATTGTGTAACACGTCCAACGTCTGTTAGACGTTGTGTAGTAACTGCTAATGTAGTAAACTACTAGTAATAACCATACGTGCGCTATCAAATTAATATATCATGTTGATATCGCGTGACAAAAATACATTCGTGCCAAAGTCGAAATTTATTTATGTATTACGGCGACGAGAAAAGTTTATTCGCACTCTTTTCTAACCTTTCAGAAAAGTCTCACTGTCTATATATCACCAAGTCGCGAATCTTGCTAAACATGTGATTTGCTAAGCGCAGCAAATCGCAAAATAGCGGACGATCGTATACGCGTGCAGTTTTTTATGAATTAATCGGGATCGTTACACTCCCGGATAAATGAAAATACTACTGCACTAAGTGCTTTTGTTCTTTGTAGTAATTGATGAAACAAGCTATATACAAAGAGATATACATTTACACAAGTTCTTTAGAGAAGTAGGGCTTATGATTTTTAGAGGGAAAAATTAAAAAAACATTTGCTCTACATTTACCGCTGCTTTTCGCGCAAATTTATAATTGTTATATTTACTTATTTCACATATATAAGTTTGCAAGTTCCCATATGTGTGTGCAAACAGAAATTTATTTCTCTAATCCATAGCCCAACGAATCAACCTTACATTTTTAAAGTTAGACACTGCACTTTAAACGAACGATAATAATAAGAAATTATCATAATTGCCATCATTTTCTGCAATTTCTTTGAAAGAAGTCATCGTAATTTATCATAATCACTGCAATTAACGTCATCTGTATTGTGTGAGCAAATTCTTTCTTAACACTTCCTTTATAAAATTTGTGTGCGTGTGTGTATTTATAGCTTATTTTTTTGTTGATTTCTACAAAAAAACGTTTTTGTGGTGCAATAGTATCTCTAAACATTTATCCACTTGTAGAGCGTGCAACAATATATATTGTGCGTGCAATAAGCGCCAAGTTTGTATGTTGCGTAAATACAAAAGGAGATACATTGAAACGTGGAAAGAGACCTCCTGTGCGTGAAATCGATAACCTTAAGTGATCCTAGTCGGCGATTTCTAGTTTATAGTCTCCTTAACCAATAGATTAGACCAGTTTCAACAGCGTCGTTTGATTCCAATCGCGAGGCTCGCTAATCTGCTTTCTCTATTTATAAAGCATAGGCAATACCGTAGACAGAGAAATATATATGTACATATACAGGGTGTCCCATTTTAAAGGACCCACTCAAATATCTCAAAAACACTGCGTTAAATCGAAAAATGTTTCAGACAAAAGTTGTTTGGCTTGAAGGGGGACATAAGACAGCGATAGCATTTTGTTTATAGATGACGCCACTTTCGAGATATTCACCGATCATCAATTTTCTTAAATAGAAATCCCAATCTTTTATTATATCATCTTTTTCTACCAACTAATTTGAACAACTTTTGTCTGAAACATTTTTTTATTTGCTTAATATTTTTTGAGATATTTAATAAGGAAAACTTGGTAACTTTTTCAACATTTAACTTACGATATCTCGCTAACTATTCGTCAAAAGAAAAAATAGTATTAGACTTTTTTACTTTATTTATTATCAAGAATATATTATTACAATAGTACCTAACTTTTGTTAATTTAATAATTTTGAAATTTCCAAAGGTCGATAAGTTAACAAAAGTCAGGGCACTATTACAGTAATATGTTCTTGATAGTAAATAAAGTCAAAAAGTTTAATACTATTTTTTCTTTCGACGAATAGTTAGCGAGATATCGTAAGTAATGTTGAAAAAGTTACCAAGTTTTCCTTAAATATCTCAAAAAATATTAGGCAGGTAAAAAAATGCTTGAGACAAAAGTTGTTCAAATTAGTTGGTAGAAAAAGATGATATAATAAAAGATTGGGATTTCTATTTAAGAAAATTGATGATCAGTGAATATCTCGAAAGTGACGCCATGTATAAGCAAAATGCCATCGCTGTCTTATGTTCCCCTTCAAGCCATACAACTTTTGTCTGAAATATTTTTCGATTTAACGCAGTATTTTTGAGATATTTGAGTGGGTCCTTTAAAATAGGACACCCTGTATATTTGATAAGATATTTATATGTGTACAGATACATATCAAATCAGATGAAGTAAGGTGAAGGTTAAAAGTGAAATATCGCTCCATAGAGAAGGTACTTTCTGTCCATAAAGAAGGAAAATTCAACGAGTGCTTCTCCGAGATGCCCAACCACATTTCGCATACATATTCCACCGTCATAAGGACGAGAGATGTTATTTCCTCCGCACACAGGTGTCAAAGTTCCGTAGAAAATGAGAAAATTTCGACTGCACAATCGCGATATACGCGCGTCACATAGAGACAACCTTGATCAAGCTCCACTTAGCGAATCCAATTCTTTCCTCGCTGTATCAAGTGCAATAAACCCAGGAAATGAGGCCAATCAATCCGCTCGAATCAATCCGCTGATTAATGCTAATTGCACAGTTGGATATCCGAGCTTCGATCGGCCAAATCGCGGTCGGCTAAGTAATTGTCTCGATACATCGTACGACGGTGCAGAGTCGTTTCGGCAAAAGGTTCATTCACTCTTCATGTTTCGAGACGAGCTCTGGAGACGCGCAGCAAACATCAAGTTACCTTCCCTTTAAACTCCCGATTCCGTTTCTCTCATACGAGCGTCACGTACACGGAGAAAAATTCTAGTAAAAGTTACGTTGAAATCGCGTCTCTTTTTATAGTACTTCTTACAGGACTCAGAGGGTCGATCGTGAATCTTTCTCCAGCGTAAACTCGTCAAGAGTGAAGATTGGCTAACTTGAAGAAACGCTCGCTCTTCTCACGAGTCCACACTAGACGGAGAGAGAGAGATTCACGATCGCGCCTGTCAGGTGTTAAAGGCATGCGACCGTCCTCGTGATTCCTTGCCCGAAGCACCGCTCGAGGCGAAGCGCCATTGTAATCTTGTTACTTGCCGACTATATAACCGTGCGTGAGACCACGCGCGATAGTCTTCGTTTATCGCCGTTTACAGAGGACGCGTTATTTACTAAATAAACGGTCATACAAACGCGCTAACCGCGGCCTCCGGTATATAGCCGGCCTTACCAGTGCCGAAACGCAAGAGCGTGTTATTTACAAGATCACTGTCGACTCGCACAATGGAATTCGACGACGCAGTTATGCAAAATGTACACCCGCCGTGTATTTGCATTCGCTGTCTACCTGCCGCGCTACGCACACACGCACGCCCGCGCGGCACTCTCCCGCCTTTATACAGGGTGTTCCACGAAATAGCGCTAACCTACCGTCGAATTTTCTCGCCGGAGAGACCGAGAGAGAGAGAGAGAGAGAGAGAGAGAGAGAGAGAGAGAAAGAGAGCAAACGATCCGAAGTGTACTCTCGGTTCCTCGATGTGCGCAGGTACTCGAGAAATATATGCGAATCGTACACGGTCAGATTGGATAAAGATTGCGTCAGCATGTGTAACTCGGTGGTGCAACGCGGTGGAAAGGAATCAGCGGTACGATTCGGCGTCTGAGAGAATAATCGATAGACGACGAAACTGGCGATCCACTTTCTCGCGGTTTACGTGTCAGGTGCCGTTCTATTTCCACCGCGGCGCAAGGTTACGTCTGTCTGTCAGTGTCGTCGTACCTCGTCAGGTAGGTTTTGGATTGTTTTTAAAGAGTATTTCGCCGTAGTAGACGTTGCTATGAATCAGCTAGTTGCTTCGAACGACATCGGGGTGGAACTGAAAGCTCGCGCGGATGCTAGTTGAAATGAGATTGACCACTCGAGTGCTCGAAGGCGAAATTCTCGGCTGATGCCACGTATTATTGATTTCCGTGGGAAATCGCATCAGTCGATCGTGTCTTTTATTTTTTCAAGGTACCGCTTACGCTGATCACCGATATATCGAGTATTCGAATAACCGGGAATTTGGAAATTAGCCGGGAAGTGTCCGAAAAACTCGGATATCTGAACTGGCACAATGAGTTAAAATGCTGACCTGTCACACTCGCGATGACTTTTTTGTGTCCAGAGTGTATGCGGTTATTGAACGATATTAACCTAATTGCAGCGCTCATTGAGACTGTTCCGTCGATTAATATACATGATTAATGATTAATGTATTCAAGGCTGTTGATACCATTGAGTATACATCCCGGAGCGAAACGGCAATGAAACTTTTCTTCCGGTAACTTTCTACACGCATTCTCGATATACGACGGAAAAATCTATCCAAAAAATAAATTTTTGTTTGAAAATTCATCGCATAAATTGTAAGGTCCTCGTTACGTTTCATATGTCATGCATGCACATATACTGTTATTAATTATTAAACACAAACAAAGCTCACAAAGATAACTAATCAAATTAAAATACAAATTAGGTAAGTAAGAGCTAACGCCGATGAAAAAGCGCAAATGATAACGTTGACAGGCACAATTACAAAGTATTCATTAAATTAATCCACTTGTTATTGAGTGTTGCGAGAGCACGCTTTGTATTATTATTATATTCTGATCGAATATTGGCGTTTAGCTGAGAAATGTGACTTTGATAATTTTCACACTTTTTTGTTGTTGAGCGTTTGCATCCAGATTCGTTCCTTTTCAAAGACACGGTTTTTTATTGCGACGGTTTTTTATATTTTTTTTTATAAATTTTTTGTTTACACTGAAGAGAGGGTCTGAAAAAATAGGACCGAAACGTTTGTAATTAATTTAATAAATATTTTGTAATTGCGCCTGTTCAGCAGCGTTATTGTTTGCGCTTTTTCACCGGCGTTAGCTTTTACTTGCCTAATTCATATTTTAGTTTCATTGTTAATTATTGTTATTAATTGTTGTTAATTATGCAGTTGCACATTATTGTTAGAATTCAGTAATACGTATCACCGCGTATATATATCACCGTGGGGATTTGGGAATTGTCGCTTTGACATTTGCGCGTCGCATACCGAGGCCGATATGCGAGAATCTCGATCAACGGTTTACACCCGTTGCACGCTCGCGGTGGCTTAAACACGAGAGGAAAACGTGAAACGCACACCTGCTTCGCAGTGAGGAAAGATACGCGAGTTTACGCGATGTGCGACATGTGAATTAGACGTTAATTCACGACCCCGTTCCTCCGACGAAAAGTTCGTCGCGCTACGCAATGGCGACTTTAGAGTCGTGGGCGAATCGTGATTCGATCTCCGGGTACCTTCGAAAGGTCAGATATATCTTTTTTATTTTTTTTATTTATTTTTCTGTTTGTATTAATTAAATTAACATAAGGATCTCCTTAAAAGGCTTCGGACGTATGCACTCGACGTAGGGGATCGTGCGATGAACGTAAAGTTGCTCGTCACTCTCGGTTTCTAAATTCTCGACTATTACACTTATTTCTTTCACCTACGAGCCGAAGTTTCACCGAATTCGACGCGAGTATTTTTAACTAAACGAGAGTATTTTCGTCATCTGCTCGCATCACTGAAACTTGTCTCGCGAAGAGATTTTTCGTTGAAATTGTTCAACTTCTCGTAGCTCCCGAGAGTGTTGTTCGTTACTCGAGACTTTTACCGAGGAAAAGCATAAACGCCACGGATTAATAACTCAATATTTTTCATCAATTTATCCTCCTCCGCGTGCGATGAATTTAATTGAATATACGCAATATTTACCGGAATATCGGTAACCCCGAAATTCTACGGTGATAAACACATCACTGATAATACGCGTCGCGTATGACGAACGCTGAATATTAAACTCATTGGCATTGCTAATTAATACTCTGCAGCGCTAAGTAATTATCGGCGTGTATAATTAGAAAGATTCGCGAGATTATGTCACTGACAAGTTCTACGCACTTCTCTCGCACTGCCTCCCCCCTTGCCCCCACCTTCCTCTCTTACAATTTAACTCTCATTTTCTTTCTCATCCAAATTCCACGTAACGCTTCTCGCGTATCGTACATACCGATATCACACCATACTTGTGTGCGCGCGATTATTTTAGTTTTTATCTCGCTGTGCACAGAGATAATTTCACTCGAGCGAGATACGCAATGGAGATCTGATTAAGTTCTCGGTCTGAGTATCTCGTTCCATCTGCTACGCTTCACCTGTTGTCGTCGTCGTTATAACTCGTAACCGCGAATGGTCGGTGTCTCGGTTACGGGCTTTGCGATAGCGAACATTCAAGGCGATCGTAAATCCGAAAGAACTTTCCCCGCGTTTTCCCGCGGAAAGCAGCAAGGATTTCCTTGATTAAAATAAATACCACGGGCATTTCCCGGTGTCTCTTGACGAAGTATCAAATATAACTGTGTTAATACACACTCACCACCGAATGCACGACGAATAGACGACGAAACGAGAAATGACAATGAAAAATGACGCGATATATACCGCCACGCGTGATTTTATCGCAGAATGATATCGCAGAAATAGAGAGCGAGAGGATTTCTATTTAATAACATACCGTACCGTATCTGGTGTGACTGGAATATTTATATTCACGCCAGACTAAAATTCATTAAAATATGCAACTGATCAACAGTACTTCCTCTCTTATTCGGATATTTTTTATCTGACGATGTAAATATTTATTACGTACGCACACAAGACTTCCGCACACTTTCTTCAGATGTCTCGGACATCTGTTGTGCGAGTGTGTCTTAGCCTCATAAGTTGGCAAAGCTGCAAAAGCAACGTGCGAATGCTAATGTCCTTAACAGCGAACAATTCAGCTCGCGTACGCTTCTTCCGCAGAGAGATTTACAAACGCGCGTACGACGCGAATACAAACGAGAACACCGATGAGAGATCGTTTGTAATTGCATATGCTCTTCTGTTTCGCGCAGTGTGGCTGGCACGGCAGGAGCGATAGTGACTTGTCCCCTGGAGGTAGTAAAGACCCGGCTGCAGTCCTCGTCTTCCGGTTTCCATCCGCCGCCGGTACACAAAGAGTTCACGTCTAATCACTCCACGTGCAGGAGTTCGCCGACGCCCGAGCAACGCAGGAGACTATGGACCGGATTGTATACCCGGTAGGTGAAACGTGCGAAGAGAAATCGATGCGATCGTCGGCGCTAATGCGCGTTGCGTCATTGCCTCGCGCGGTAATTTATTATAATCAACGCCCGACGAGATATTTTAAACGGTTTTAATTGAATCGTTGATCGTAAAACGCAGACGATTCCATGCGCGCGATTTATTTTTCAAGGTTCCGCGTTATCTTCTCTGTTTGACACATGCCGCTGTATACGGGGTGTTCAGAGTAATCTTGGTGGAATGTCACTTTTCGGCGTGCCGATTACCGTGAGATCCGAAAGCCGATAATAACTCTCTCTCCGAGACACTGAATTCTCCCGCTTTGCTCCGTTATCGTTTGCGAATTACACGTCGCGCTTGCCGACTTCGCATAAACGAAATGAAAAAACGCGATGAAAAGATTCGCGCAATGCAGCCAATATCACGTAGCTAATAACGATACACATTTTTTGCATAGATATCGTGCGGAGGTATATAACACTTCCGATTATTGCGCATTAACAACCGTCGTTTAACGTTGGAACGCGACCTATTTCTATCGGAGCGGTTGGAATGACAAGTTTTTGAGAAAGTTCTTTTATGCGGGGCGAAAATGTTCATTCACATCCCCTTTAGTTTCATGCAACGTCCATTCAAAATGTCAGATGCGTCGTCGTATAAAATCGAATAATCTTTAATAAAAAAAAATAAATAAATAAATAAAAAAGCAAAAAGTTTGATAAAATACCAAGCAATGCGTTTTAAGGAACATAATGTTATTTTTATATACTTTATTATATACTTCACACACACACACACACACACACACACACGCACACAAGAAATTACGAAGCGGGTCATTTTTTACCGCTTGGTAGTTTCAATGTTGACATATCGTGAGCGCGTTGCGCTCAATCGTATCGTGATAAGATATCAGAGACTTATCGTCTCACATGTCGATCTCTCCTTTTCTTCTCCTCAGGCACTCCAGTCACTTCGTAGCTCTTTCTCACTTCGGCGTCTCAAGCCCGCCGCCACGTTCTATGCACGCGCCGGGTATCTATGAGTGTATACGGTATATCATCAAGCATGAGGGAATCCGGGGCCTGTTCAAAGGTCTCGGGCCGAATCTCATCGGCGTGGCACCCTCCAGGGCGATCTACTTCTGCGCCTACTCCAAAAGTAAAGCCGCCTTCAATGCGATCCTACCCCCCGATACTCCGGTCGTCCATGTCTTCTCCGCGTCTTGCGCTGGTAAGATTACGATATTTCTACACGTAAACTTTTATTTTACACACACATGCATATACGAATGTATACTTACAAACATATAGCTTACAAGACACCGCCATTCACGCAATGCGGATCGAAAACTTGGAACATTTCAAACAAAACTGTTCAACTGCTCAATCTCGCCGCTGAGCACCGCGATATCGTTCACATTTTCCACGAAAATCCTAAATTACCTTCTGATTTCTTTTATTTTAAAAGTTTACGTTTGAAAATATACGTACAGAAAGAATGTTATACAACGGAGGAAATACTCTTGCTCAAGTATACCAATGTAGAAAACAAAAAGTAAAAAAAAATTTGATGAAATGCTGAACAATGCGTTTTAAGGCATGTGATGTTATTTTCACAATTCGCTCGTTATACACTTCACACACGCGCAAAAGCAGCGACTAGTGCGAGCATGCTCGTTACTGAGTAAATTAAAATTTGACAAGCTAACGAACGTTAATTTTCTCGTACATTTCACCTTATATTTCTCGACACTTGTTACTCGCGTATTTTCCGCGCTGCACCTCGATGGAAGCCGTTACATCGTAACGCCAGCGTGAAAAGTGTATTCGGCCCGTTTCCGTTCGTCTCACGCGCGCGCGTATTTACTCGGTGTTTCGAAGAGCATCGCGAAATAAGCCGTATGCACGTGCACCGGTCGATACTGAACGTCGCGACGCTCGCGTAATTGCGTAAGACGACGAGCAGCGACACGAGATAACGGAAATGCAACGCGGGAAACACATTCATCCGCGTATGTTAATGCGCCGGACCATCGTCCGGCGCGACTTGTTATTACACCGTGGTCGTGAACGCACTACGCGTTACGTAGGCGTTAATCTACCTACCATGCCGCCTACCTCAAGCCGGCTCGCGCGTCTTCGCTCTTCCGCGAGACGTGTAGCGAGGCGTTCGGCGTTATATTCGCATTTTCGTTTAAAATTACACCACGCTGCGTTATTATTAAGTCCCGGTGCGCAGCGCAGCATTTCCCCCGGCTATTTTTCATCGATTAGCAACTATTTTCGCACCGCTCGGCGAAGGGCAAAAATGTCATTCCTTTTGTTTCTTTTCTCGCGACGCAATAGCCGCGATGTAAGATCGACGAGAGTGACGATGTGTGCACATCTCGGGAAGAAATGGCCGCCGCTGTCCTACTACTAATGCCTACTACTATCGTCACCACTACCACCACCACTACCACCACTAAGAGTAAACAACCCTCTTTGCTACACTGTACTACAATATGATTTCGTATTCTTTCTATCACGCACGAGTTTTGAGCGCGAGAGAGCTGTGAGTGTATTGTGTATGAATAGGGGAATTTAACTTTTAGGGACTTTAGGTTTTGCATAAGTTGTCGACACACTATTATTCTCGGTCATTGTTGTGGGGGAAACGCCATCCTCGTGGTGCGAGTGAAAGAGAGCCGAGTGTTCGCTACGCTATAAAGGACCGCAAGAATGTAAGTGATATTATATCACATATATTTATTGACCTATTAAAGCGTTGCTCTTCTCAAAAGCTCTACGTGATAGGAAAAGTATCGAGATCATATCGGAAGACAGTAGGAAATCTTCCTTAAACATCTCTTGAATCTCTGCTTGAGAAAGAGAAAGAGAGAGAGAGAGAGAGGGAGAGAGAGAGAGGGGGCTTGGGTAACGTCGAGGTAAAGTGTGCCGGAACGATAACCGATTCAATCGTCACGAGATCGAATTTCAGTCGATTTAATTACGCCCTTGTTGCACGCGTACAGTAATTTTCACGTCCGAGATCATCTATTTCATCCGGATTTCCCGGCGAATCTCTCAACGAGTGAATCGACGCGTATGTTTAGCATGGAGCGATTATTATTCATCGGGACGTTTCGACATCGAACAGCCGCGCGTTTCTCGACGAATTGTCTCGAGCGAGGCTCGCGTCGAATTGACCCGCTTCCAACACCATTACCATTACACCTAAATTCTCGAGATGAAACATCATCGCTCTCTTCGTTCCCACGCCTAATGGACCATTTCGCTGTGAACAATCGGTCCGAGTAAACAGGCGCCGAAAAAAATGCTCACCTTGAGAATATTTCACGTGTGTTTATCTCGTAAGACTCGACACGCACTGACGACAATAACATGACGACATCGGCATCGAGTTAGACTCATGCTAAATCATCATTATACCGCGTCAACCTTCGCTCTGTCTTCGTTCTCGTCATATTTGGTGCTTCCAAATATATTGGCCGGCCGGCGCCGCCGCGCGACTCCGTATTGTTTCCCAGCCGCGTGCACTGCAAAGACGTAATGCCGCTCTGACCTTGGCAGCAAGAGGAGAAAATAAAAGCTGTAAACAGATCCGTGCGTGTGCACGCACGGTTGTACATCGTCGATTCGACGTATCGTTTATTGCGTCGTCGCTGAGTTATATTCTCTCCTTCGCCGACAATCCAATCAACGAGACGGCGATAGACGTGCGATTAGCGCCCGACGAGAGCGGGGAAGAACGATATTCTGCGCGTCATTCATGCGCTATCTTTAATGGGATCCGTCAGAGCACCGCCGCAGCGTCGCGCGAACATCGCGTCGTGATCCCGAGACGTGCGCACACGGCCGGCCTTTGCCGATGTCGATAACCCGAGGACACGCAGTATATATATGTGTTTGTGTGTATATGTGTATCCAGCAGCGTGATTTCGCGCACTTTTACTTTCGATTCGCTTCGTTCGATTTGCTCGTCGTCGGTGCGACGTGCGAATGTAGAACGCGACGCGGACGAGAGGGAAACGTCTTTGCATATATAAAGGGTCGAAGACGCAGCACAGAAGAGCTATATATTCCGAGACAATTGACATCGGAGATAAAGCTCGCAGCTGTGTCGCTCTGGAACAGCTCTGGAAAAGAGCCGGAAGCACAGCAAAGACACTGGTCTAGCAGCTAACTTGGGAGACAAAAATCTTGTTCGTAGACTCATAACTCATAACGGACCATTCACGGCATATTCCCGCCGAATTTCACGAGCATCCGCAGCAAACGGAATCTATTGAAATTGCACTCAAAATTACAATTCTCGCTTTTATAATCTCAGGGAAGATCTCGTCGTCATTGTGACGCGCCCGCACGCGAACTTTCGTTTTATTATTAACGCTTTCGGCGCGATTAAAGACGGGAAACTTATCGTAGATAACACGCACGCTCATGGACTAAAGATTCTAATTTAATCGTTATCTAATTTGAACCTCTCTAACGTCTTATTGAGTAGTAGCTGCTACATCGTTATCTCATGAGCGCGCGATATACACGGTGTTCCTTTTACGCGTTCACTGCGTCGAACAACTGCTGAAGAGGGAAGGCGACTCACAACGCGAATCGAAGACCCGTATCGCGAGTTGAGTCGATTTAAAAAGCCCATCCTGCACGCATACGCTGCTTCGATTTACTCGGAGACTCCGTCATGGGACAGACGTCGCCAACGGAAGCGACGACGAGATCGACGTTTGCGTAACTTATCGCTGATGTCGTCTCGCGCACTTTACGCCTCCCTCTTACAAGATCGCGACGCTAAACACGACATCGTCGTCGTACCTTCGGCATTTCCCGAAACCCACGTCTTCTCCTTTCTACGTTCAGCTTGTGAATAGAAACGACGAGAGCTCGTTTGCTCGTTCGCAAACATCCGGTAGATCGTGCTCGATAAGAGCCCTCCTGTGAGCAATATAACGTGTTCTCCGCGCTTTGACTTGAACTTGACGCGAACTTTGACACGAGCGATCCGTTCGCGTTGTTCGATCGGTTCGCAGGGGAGCCACACGCGGTCAGCGCGTGTTTCCACGCTTTTCTCGTTCATTATTCGCTCAATTGAAATGAGTGTGCTCTGCGTCACCAGAAGCTTCGTATGCGTGTTCTTTATCTTTCTCCTTCTCTTTCGCTCCTACTACCCGCGAGTCTTTCGCTTTATCGGATGATGATTGGAAGTCTCGTCACGTCACGTACTTTCTTACTCGCGATATTAGATAAGCGACTTTTACACGAAGCGTTGCTCTTGCGGGAGAAGAAATCTCGTTAGAAGAGGGATGGCGTGTGAAGAGTTGCGGAAAACTTTTGACCATCTTGAAATTCTTCGAGGGAAATTCTTCCAAGGCGCATTATGCTTCTCGGGTGTATATTGACGATATAGAATCTGGAAATGTCTTGTAACAGGAAATTTTTATTTCGATCTCCGCGGGCGATGCATCGAACTTTCAACCCGTCGAGATTCCAATCGTTCGCACGCTCGCACGTCATTTGTGCCGACCCGTCGAACGGAAAGAAACTTCTCCATGTTTCTTTTTTTCCTCTTTTTTTGGTAAATACACGTGTATCGCGGCGACGTCTGTCGTAATAACTCCGGCGATTCGTGATTCTTCTCTCGCGTGAGCGTGTCGTAACGAACGATCGACCGTCAACGATAAGTATATTGTTTACAGCGATAAAATCTAATATCTAGGACAATGCATCGACAGTCGAATGTCACTTGTGTTATTCGGAAGTCACTTGGGATCCGCACAAGGCTACGATTTGCCTCTGAATGCGAATATAATGATATCGCGTGTACGTTTACTCGCAGTTACTGCACAGATACGGTGTTACATAAAATCGCGCATGTATGCGTTTTTTCTATTCAGCTTCGAGCAATTCAGGGCCCGTAATGTTTTCTTCACCGCTTAAACTATACATGATGTTATCGTTTTTATATCCCCAAGTTACCTTGACAAAAAGAGTCGCGAAGAAGCTCGCCTAGGAACGTTTTATGCTTGGGGTATCAGTATGCGAGAGTATATACAGCGCAATGATTTTATAGAATTTATTTTCAGGAAGATAACGGCGGTGATTTGGAGACGTTAGAAAAATTCTTTCCTCGATACTTGATACTCCTACACCGATTGTGTGGTATCCATCGGACACCAATTTTAGTTTTTGACTTTCTGTTTTAAGCCTTTCTATTTGCACGAATTGATATTTCGCCTCTTTTATTCCTACTTTAGAGATTTTCCAAGGAAAAAGACGAAGAGACCACGCCTATTTTTTCTTCTATGTAAAATAAAATCAATCTGTCTTACACAATTACTGTATAGTATATATATATATATATATATATATATTGCGATATATCGAGAGTCAAATACGCAAAAACTCATCGACGCCCGCCTCACTTCCTTGTGACAAATTTCGGGTCTTTTTTCGGACCTAGGAAGTCGCGCCAGACGCGTTTGACGAGTTTCAATTTTTCTTTCTTTCTTTCTTCGCTTCTCCTCCTCTCGTCCTTCTTCTCTCAGCCCCTCTTTCTCTCTTTTCCTTCTCGCCTTTCCCTCTGTCGCCGCCGTCATCGCCACCGCCGCCGTCATCGCCGCCACCGCCGCCGTCATCGCCGCCACCGCCGCCACCGCCGCCGCCGCCGCCGCCGCCGCCGCCGCCTCGTCGGCCAGAGAGCACCTCTCCGACGGCGTGCTTCTATTTTTAGCCGACCTAACCACGTAATTCAATGCCCGTCGTTGCGGCCGTGTGAGAACACAACCAACAACGGAGCCCTATCGTCGAGTGATCGCGCGCCGGAACGGTGCAACCGGAATTGCATCGCAATTTAAAATAATGCTCTTCGCTGTGCCGCGCTTCTTCGGCGCGTGCACCGTTCGATGCGCGATACACCCCGATGAGACGAACGGAAATGTCGGATAATTCCGGGTGACAATGTCGGATTGTGTCACGCTGCTGCAATTCTGTTGCGAACGCGAGCCTCATCGCTCGTGCCGATATCACTGTGACGGCGGCGTTGAGCGCGAAACACTTGAGTAGATAAAATCTTCTGTTGACAATGATTACATTCAAAATTTTTTAAAATTTTGTCATTGCTCACGGCAAAAAAGAGCAGTACGATTCCGCGATGGATATTTTTCGAGACCTATGCGGGATCATTTTATCGGTCGTTGACAGGAAAATCTCCGGCGAATCACACAGAATCCCGACACAAATGATTTCTTCCCGCGCGGAGTCTTATGAAAAACTGCAATGTTGTCTCATCAACGATCAACTCTTTTCTCTCTTCCGTCTAGAATGAATTGTGTTATCGCTGAGAATTGTCCGATTTTCATGTGCATTTATACTCGGATGGAGCGCATACGCATTAATTCGAGAAGCATATGTTTTAGACGAGGAGAGGCGTTGCCCTCGTCTGCCTTCGCGCCACAAGCGTCGAGATCGATCCATCGAACCGCGAAAGATAGAGCAACGGATACACGAGGATCTTCTTCGCCTGGCGGCGAACTCGCATTTTCGCGGTTACGAAATCGCTTCGCGTTCGGCGAAGATAATAACCGGAGCCAACGCTCGACTCCGCGATGTTTCAGACCGGTTCGCGCGAGACCGGGCGCGCGAGCACTTTCAGGTAGCGCGAAAGGTAAATAAAACGTAAACGAGTCATCGCGGACGTGAGCACGCGCACGTTGCGCTCCCAATAAATTGCGCACCACGTTACGCAGAGTGGTGGCCCGCTCTCGCTTGCGTAACTCTTGCGGCTTGCCCGCGTCTCGGCTGCACGCATACCTCCTCCCTGCGCACGCAGTAGCACGCGAATAGTACGATGCCGCGGTTCCGTGTCAATGGAACCGTAACAAACATCCCACCCGATACAGGATACTGCCAAGCAGCCGTAAACAAATTCTCGCACGGGGAAAATCGAGGGGCAGAAGCGTGGCTTCGCTCCACGCGAGAGAACTCTTCGTTTTCTCTCTCTCTCTCTCTCTCTCTCTCTTTCTTTTTTTTTTCTCTTGTGCATTACATGTCCAGAAATGAAGTAGCTTTCTTTCGCGTGCGACCGCACACGCAAACTCGAACTTTTTTTAATAATTAACGCGTCCCGCGCCGGGCTAATTGGTGGCACAGCATGTCGTATTATGAACCAAGTTCTATTTGCCGGATGATAATATATGTGTTGCAATAATTATAAAAATATCTTGTAATTGGCGTTTCATTTAGGAGGCAAATTGCCAATTAATGGCTCGAACGGAAAATTCAGCATCGGCCACCGTCGACGCGACTCACATGTGGCAAGTGTTAACGACAGTTTTAGCGAGCACTTGGACAGTGAAATTGAATTTTCAGTCCATTCACACGCAACATTCGCGGAAATTGGGCACTGTCGAGGGATCGCTTTCTCCCTTGAAGAAAGGTCGCAAACGATTCGAGTGCGAAACACAGTTGACTTTCGAGAACATTTACTTCCAGAATACACAAACACGCAAACGCCGGACAAGCGATATCTGTAAGTCCACGTAGTTGCTCGTTTCATCGGATCTAACGTCTACGTAACGTCGGACGAACGAATGACAATAATAACGATTACCCGCATTAAGACAATAATAACGATATGCCGCCGATCCTGACCTGTTATCAAGGCTTTGGCTCTCCTCACGCAAAGCGAAAACCTCAAATTTGCAGAGTTGGTTTGGTATGAACAATGCCGATCGGACTTCGCTTTGCATGAAACCCTTGATAAGCCTTGATAACGTACAATTATAGAGCTCGATTCGCGTGGAATTTACGACCGTGAATCTGCGACCGGCGTAGCTCCCGTTTTGCTCGGGTATAAAGGTAAATATATTGGGTGTGTGAATATGACTCCGCCCTTTCCCAACAGATGTTGCTTTTAGTATTGTTAACGTGTACTAATAACTGGCAACACTTGTATTCGATAGTACTTCATGTCAACTTTCAAACGCACTACGTGAAGTTTGGTTTAAGTGTAAGCAATAAGTGTTTTATGAAAATGTCGGTTTTCGTTCCAAACAAACATCATTTGCGGGAAGTATTATTACACTATTTTATTGCAAAGAAAAGTGCAGCAGAAACTTATCGTTTGCTTGTGGAGATTTACGGTGATCATGCTCCATCTAATACAACTTTTGGAACTTGAGGACAGAGAACATAGGAAACCACCAAAAAAATTTGAAGATGCTGAATTGGAAGCATTATTGACAGAGAATTGTTGCCAAACTATTAAAGGAGAAGTTTACCAACGACAACTAATGTGTTTGAAGCGAGCCATAGTAGAAAAACGGCCAGAATGGGTGAATAGGCACAGCAAATTAATTCTTCAGCATGATAATGCCAAACCGCATACCGCAGAAGTCGTGAAAAGATATTTAGATGGATAGGACTGGGAAGTGCTACTCCACCCGCCATATTCGCCAGACATAGCTCCTTCAGATTACTACTTATTCCGGACGATGCAGTCAGATTTTACGGGAGAACGGTTCACTTCATACGAAAGTATCAAAATTTGGCTTGATAATTGGATCAGCTCAAAAGACCAGGACTTCTTCAGGCAAGGAATACATAAATTACCTGAAAGATAGGCGAAGGTTGTAGCTGCAGATGGAGCATACTTTCAATAAATTTTTCTTTAATTTTCTAAACAAGCAAATGTGTTTTATTTTAACAAAAAAGGATGGAGTCATATTCACACACCCAATAGAAATAAATATTTATATAGAGATCTAGAGGTAATCTTGAGGACGTACGTGTTTCGCCGTAAGAACGATGTCGATTTCATGCTGGATGGAATTCGGATTATCGGATCTCTCCAACTTGATGAAACTCGGGTTATCGAATTCAACGTTTCGATTTTTATGGACACTTTCCTTCGTTGATAACTTCACAGATAAATATTAACCGCCGGCTGAAACCTCTCGAAGTTTACTCAAAATCGTGACTTTTTTATTTCATTTGTAAAAATCAAGGTCACCAGCAAAGTGCCCCTTAATGCCTCAATAATTATCACAATATCGCTCGAAGTAAAAATCGCTTTTATAATTTGGATTAACGGTTGCAATTTGGGAGAAAAAGGAAAATAGAGAAATTCACGACACCACAGCAGGGAGCATCGTGCGGATATGTAATAAACGTCGTCGTTCAATTTTTGCAGGTTTCGCGGCGTGTACATTGACAAATCCAATTTGGTTCGTAAAGACCAGACTACAGCTGGACCATCGAACGAATAAAATCACTGCGTTAGAATGTATGCGGAGGATATATCAGCAATCGGTAAGATAACAGATCTTATTTCTCGTCCAGATAATCCGCGGGGTTTGGTGAGACGCTCTCGCCGATATATCAACTGTACGTCCGTGTGATTCTGAATTTTATTCATTCAATACGCAGATTAATCAGTAAATAATCGATCATCAAACAACTGATGATATTTGATCATTTAATATTCATTAAATGTGCGGGTTGTTTGCTCGCTCTATATTGTGCGTTCCAAATCAGACGATCATGTTTAATTCGCACGCATATAACTCACTCACATAACGAATACCAACTATTCTAGTAATGTAAACGAATTGCTGCAACGAATGACTGTTTCGGTCAGTAAATGCTATCTTTGCCTTCAAACAGATAATTCTATATTAGGCAAAAACACACGAGTCATTTTACGAAAAGCCATTTTAGAAAAGTTCCTATTCAGACAGAACTGTCCCATTTAGCAGAAAATAAACGAAACGTTATCCGAGTAATGCAGCTGGCAAATACGTAATATCTAGTCAAATTGTAGCACAACTTCAAGATAAAAGAACTTTACGAATGTTGACTTCAGCATCGCGCGTTTAAAAGAAAATATTCAAGGTTGAAAATGCTGCAGAAATACTATACGTATAATAATTGATTTAAAGCGAAAATGTTTTTTACCAAACCAATATAAAGAAATCGATTATCCGGCGACAAGCCAAGAGAAGGCTTAATCCGATAATCGATAACGATAGGCTTATTATCGTCGCTTACCCGTGCATTGCTTTTAATCGAAAACAACGTAAACAAGCTGTGTGAATCTCGGCTTATTTCGCGTGTGTATTTTATTTCTCACGTATAACGAATGTTAAGTACGTCCTTTCGACTCCAAATCCCGTTTTTCTCGTACGAACGACACGTGTAACATCGAGCTTAAGTCTCGGAAGAGGATATACATATTTAATTAATTTTCAATGCTTGTTAAAAATAGACTCCCTGCAGTTAGAAAATCGATTCCCGTGTATTTGCAATTCCGAATAATCATCGTCCTTACTACGACCGACTTCTCCTCTGTCTTCCCCGGGAAATTTTTTCTAAAAAAATCCATCGTTCTTTGAAGAGACGGTTTCCCACTTGAAAGATGCGATTTTCCTTCCTTAAGAGCGAAATAGGACAGATCGCAATTCTCGCCGGCTATAAGAACCGTCTTGAACATCGTTTATCGACCGTCTTCCTTAGCGTCATGCGAACGTCGTGAGAATTGTTCTGAGAGAATAATCACGCGGGCATGTACGCGGCATGTTGCGGGTATTAGAATTAGAAAAACTTAGAATAACCAGGGGAGTGTCCGCAAAGTTAACAACGATGTTGTGCAAGGCCGCCGGTAAATATGTTGTGAACGCTACTTGCGGCCAAGATTATTTTCTCAGCCGGTGACGCGGCATGTACGACGGCTGTGTCGCAGCGAAAGAACTTGGGCATCGTAGATTGCAGAGCGCTGACGTAACGGTCTCTCGATACGTTAAATGCAATTTCCCGAAGACTGCTTTCGCGATCGAAGGCGCTTAATAATTTGCCCGAGTGCGAAGCGAGTGTGTCGAGCACGAGCACGCGTTTCCACGCGGAATCGAACAGTAAGAAAGTAATCCGAGAGGGGGCCTCCTCTGAGATCAGTTGTTCCGAGTTGTTTGGCAACGTATGACTAAATTGTTTACTAATCGCGTTTACGTCACGCTGTTCGATGGACCCGTGTTAAATCGAGACTGTTCACTCGGAGACGATTTTTTTTCGTGTACGCGCGCAGCGATTGCACTCGACGCGCCAGAATCGAGCCAGCTTTAAAATCGGCGCCGTGATCTACAAATAGTACATCCGGCCGAGAATATCGTGGGAAATACCGCGCTCTACGTTGAGCAACGTTTATTACGTTAGCCAGCGGATGATTTGTCTATCTCCGTGGCCGTTCGTTTCGTCGGAAAATCCTGCGGATGTCGATGTACGTTCATCTGCAGATGTTTGGAATATTTTCTTCGATATATTTCCGATTTCTTCGAAAACACACGGGAGAATTTGTTGTTGAGTTATTCTCATAAAACAGGTTCTCTCATATTGGTGATGTCGAATGCGTTTTGAAATGTCCTGAAAAAAGAATGGATCTCAGTAACAAGCGTTAAGAAACATCACAATTTGTGATCATGCGTCGAGGCTTGATGAAGTGACCATTTTATCCAGTTTATTGACTGGTCTTTTCGCCATCGTCGTCGAAATGTCGTTTCTTTTTTTTCTGATTACACTCGTGATATTTGATATCAACATCGATTTGTTATCAATCAGACACACCTTTTGAGTCACCCGACCGAGTCGCGTCTCAAATTCACTGTTTTCTTTCATCGTCAATAACACAACACAGGATTAAACATTATTTTTAACTTCAGCATGTAAATTTTGTTGTGTCTCCTCCCCCCCCCCCTTTCTCTCTCCTGCACGGTTTGCAATATACGCAATTTTAATCAAAATAATATACAAGTCGATTTAATAATTTCTAGTAAATATCGTTTTTGATTAAGTGGAAGTATCATTCTTAAGTAAGTGGAACTTTCGTTTTTAATTGTATCTCTATTCTCAAGATATCGCGTATCACGATTGTTACGACGACACATGATAACGATGTTATCATATTAATAACTAATATTAACTCTGTAAACATCACGCAACAACACAATAGTCATACGATTGTATCATGTTTACATGTAATATTTACGTACACAATCTTTCACTCACTGCAATATCAACAATCATTTTATAATAAATAGTCGCCGGCTGATCGGAGGCGACAAGATTGCTGCGGCATCTCTCAATCCGATGGATTTTCAAACGGGAAATGTTCCGTCCGAAAGCGGGGCTGTCCCCCCTCGATTCTCATTCATTGGAAAGTACTTCGAAGGAAAGCGCGTTGCCAACGAGCTTCCCGCGGCTAGCTAATGTGCATTTCGGCAATGGTTTAATAAAACAAATGAAATGAATAAAATAAATTGAATTTAATACATCGTTATACTCTTGTATAATTGTACAAATTGAACGTAACATGTATTATATAATTATAATTATATTGTAGAATTTAATATGAATGTGAATCTCTAATTTAATTTTCTTACAGGGTATCCTGGGATTTTACAAAGGTATCGTGGCGTCCTACGTAGGCATAAGCGAGACTGTGATACACTTTGTGATATACGAGGCAGTGAAATCGTGGTTGGCCACACACGGGTCGAGAGCCACGAGGTCAGACGATAGGAAAACCTTTCGGGACTTTATCGAGTTCATGGGGGCTGGTTCGTTCTCGAAAACCATAGCGTCGATCATCGCGTATCCTCATGGTAAGAGCTTGCTCTCATCGTCCGGTAGGTCACATGTAGAGCGTTTACGGTAATTGGACGAATTCTCCAGACGATCTTTTTTTCCGAGAGCCGCAAACCGCCAAGGAAAAGCAAAAGAAAGATGGCTGTATTATTTATTTTCCCGTGTTCTAACGTGCGTATTTTTCTCCCTGGCATTGACGAAGAAGATACGCTGAGTCGGTCTAAAGATAGCGAGCTATCCGCAACGCGTGCCAGCCGCACTCGACGTGCAATTACGCGCTTACATCCTACCTACAAATAGTCGAATATAGACGTGCCGGTTGTCCGAATAAATAACGTTCGTCCAGCCGTGGTCGGTCATGCCTCGCGATCTCCAGCACGAAATCGTTCTGCGAAGTGTTGTTGTCGAAATCGGGAAACGGAACGCTATTCACCGAATTACACCGGAAGGAAGACTGAGTGACTTCCACTCGAGAAATGCTACGTCATTGTTTCATTTCTTCCTTAATTTCAAAGTGTTCGTTGCATCACGTGCAAACAAAATCCAAGCATCTATAAATGCTGTTTTGTCGAACATGTATCTCGAATCGCTTCGTACCTCTTCGATAGAAAAGCCGCAGGACGCGAAGATCGCCGAGTTTCTTAATTGTCGTCCCGTCGTCCTTTTTCAGAAGTCGCGAGGACCCGCTTGCGGGAGGAGGGCACCAAATACCGCACGTTCTGGCAGACTCTCAACATCGTGTGCGCAGAGGAGGGCGTGAAGGGCTTGTATCGCGGCCTCGGCACCCAGTTGATCCGCCAGATCCCGAACACTGCGATCATAATGGCGACCTACGAGGCGGTGGTGTACGTGCTGACCCGGCATTTTCGGCCGGTGACAGTGTCGTGCAGTGCCGGTGCCACGACGCAGTTCTACAGCGAGACAAAGACGAAGAGGGAACTGGCCTAGGACCTGCTCACGGCCCCCGAGTAAAGGGCCCAGCTGTTCCCCCTTCTGCGTTAGACGAATACCGCGCGTAACGAGGCGTCGTCTAACACACATCTAGATGGATCAATCGCGCGTCTAATTCAGATGCATCGAGAGACGAAGCGGCGACAAGAGTAGGGTGAGACAGGTTGTGGGGCAGAGAGAGATTAAGAGAGAAAGCTGCTGGATGTCGAGGAAATGATTTATACCCTGACCGTCGCCCCGGGGGCTAGTCAGAAAGGTACTGTGCGCACTGATTCCGCAATCTATGCTGCAAAAGTGTAGCAAAAGATAGTTCTTCCTCCTTTCAGGTAACATATATATATATATATGGATCCGTTGTTGAGAGGGAAGGAAAAAAAAGAGAGGAAGAGAGGGGTAAAAGATGAGAAAGAGCGAAACAGAAAGGGGAAGAGGGAGAAAAAGAAAATTATAAGGAAACAGGCGATTGATTAGTATGGGATAGAGACCTGAGAGACCTGAAACTTCGCTTCTCGCGAAAACGCGAATTACGCATGCGTGAGCACCCGGAAGACAAGAAGAGGACTTGTGTTATTATGTAAAAAGCTTATTTGTGGCAAAAATGTCCTTTGCTCTGAAAACGAGACTGGCCTGTGAAATACCGTCGCACAAGGCTCGCTATAAAAATATGTAATAAGCACCGTAAACTTCGGCTTCCCGGCGAGTCTGGCTTCCGATGCCGTTTCCATTTCACGATCTGCGGCTTCTCACTTTGCACTTCGCGTGTTACCTTTCTCCTCGGTTGTTTGTTTACAATAAAAGAGACGCTGTAAGGAGAAAACGAAGGAAAATACAACGCGAAATCGATTTGTGATAAAAATATCGCTTATTATTACATCATTTTAGAACAACAAATATAATGAGGAACGATTTGTGATTGTTGTTTGAATTTCCCGGAAGCAGTGGCTCTGAATTTTTGAGTCGCTTCGAGTCTGATCGCTGTTTTTCTAGAAATCGACAATTTCAACCGGTTCTTGTTGTAAATGGAACATCTCGTAGGTCATCCTTGAAGGCTTCAACACTTCCTAATTACTGTGACTTTAACAAAAGTCTTTATTTACGTGTTCATAAAATCGTGTAAACTATTCCGATATCGAATTTCGCGGGGATTTAGTTTTTCCGTGTCTCATTTTTCATCTCAGCAATATAAATACTAAAACGTTTCATTTTCAATAGCACGCGCGCAATATTACCAGGTATGATACATTTGAAATTTACTCAACGCATTTTCCACGTGTGTAATATGTATTTGTAACTAAATTTTCAATTGGAAAATTTTACGATAAACATTTTAAATGCAATGCATATATATTCATACATAACAGGTATATAAACGTATATTATGATAAACTATGTTTGTGACTCTTCCAATTTATTTACGTTTCAAGGAAACTAAGAACAAATAAAATCCGAATACTGCTGTTGACACGATGTATATTTATATTTATTTTACATATCGCATTGTGAAGTAAACGTAAACATATTTTGCATCAACAATGGCATTCTGACTTTTATCATCATTGGTTTTCTTACAGTTTTAATCTAAAGCCTTGTGATAATTTCATTCGTTCGCGTCTATTATATTGACATATTTTAGTAAATCGAGTTGATATAATATGTATTTTATGAAGATTTGATATAGATTAAATTACATTTTCGTCTTTGTGACATTTCCATTGATCCGTGTTCTTTGCATATACCACGATTTCACTATATTTCCTTATAATATTTTAATGAACAACAACGGATTAAATTTTCCATTTCCGTAGTTCCGTCGAAATGTCGCTAATATAACGCAATAAGTAGTTCTTGACAGTTCGATGTACATTTTTGTTCTAACTGTTGTTGTAACTTGCTCTTAGACGAAGTCTCAAGAAAAAAAGTAACAAGACATACTGAATGTATAAATTAAATAAATTGCACACACATAGAAGGAAGAAAACAGCGAAGTCAACCTTAGAGTATCCATCCAAGGACTATAGACAGCCTGATAGTTTCGACTTTATTTATATAGAAAGATATGCGTGTGTACATATCGAAATGTAGACTGTAGCTGTATATTTACGAGCGTTTGCATATGTTCCATTAGTTAGCTGTACGCAACATCGCATAGTACTATCTTTCGGGAAGTTCGACAAAAGTATTACGAGAACGCGAAGGCACCGTCGTTATACTTACATCTTTTATAGATCAGTCATGGGATGCGCGAAATACGTTATACTCATCACAATTCGTTTCTTATCATAATCCTAAACATGTAACTAGTTTCCACAAGATACTGGAGAAATAGGAATCAAGAAAAAATTTCTCTCGGTTTATCCAAATTTTATTTTCATATTTGATTCTCCTTTGATTATTTTTCTTTTGATTTTTGTTTTTATCGTTTTCTTATTGTAGTTAAAGAAAAACGCGACATACACACATCGCTTTCTTAAAAACAATGAAATATTTTATCAACATAATTACGTTCATAATTACGTGCCATTTTCTCTTGTTCGTACATTCACATATATGTATTCTTATAACTACATTGAACAAAATTCTTATCGATTCATAGTTATCAATATTGTATTCTGTTGCATTTCTTTTCTCGCAAGATGGATTTTTTAGGTGACCATTATTTTGTGTTTACGTTTACATAACATTTTCAAAAATTAATCACACGTACTTTTAATTCAGTCAATTGATTTCCTTCAACTTATACACCAGATGTCATATGTACCTCAACATTATAACTAAGGTTATTATGTCCAACTTTACACATATATGCATAAGATTGAAGATCATAGGAGAAACCTTAGTAAATAAATGTTAAAGCTCATATGACGCTTGGTGTAATGTAGTTTTGACCGAGAGATTATCATGTATTGCTATAGTTAATACATTCGCAAAAATTTCATTAGTTACTTGGAAAGAATCTTTCTTTGTACTGTATGTAATGGAGCTGTGATTGTATTTTTTTCTTTTACCACTGAAACTTGGCGCTTAGCAATTATGTAAGGCGACTGGTTTTATGACGTTTACATAGGGATATGGAAGTCGTATAAATTAGAGTTCGATATTTTAGGCAGCATGTTATGTCTTAACGTTGTAACTAGGATTATTTGTATGATTTTCATTCTTACACTTGTATAAGTAAGATTGGAAATCGTATATAACTCTAGTAAGTAAACGCCAAGCATATATGACACCTGGTGTACATTCAATACTGCAACCGCTTAGCGAGCTCTTTGATCTGATTGGGTATATATTTTCGAATTTGACTCTGATTTAAAAGTTATAATCAATCTAAGAGCTATGTGGTTGTGTAGTCTCCATAGATAAAATCAACTGATGTTTGGAAGAAAAGGTATGCGACTTCTGGAACAGCGTGTATAATCGATATATTAACTGTTAACCATCTTGTTGAGATTTTATTACAAAGCCACTTGTCATTTGTAAGTGTACGTGCGAGGGATGTGGTTTCTAAATGCCAGGCTGTTGTTATTATAGTCGTACATAGTTACTCCATAGAAATATTCTACATATTTTAATGAATCACAAAGAAATCTGAGAACCAGATGCCAAGTTGTAAATTGTGTACAGATACTAAATAAAGAGAGAGAAAGAAAGAGAGGAAAGAAGCTTATTCATTATGGAATAAGCGATAATTTTTTTTACGAAGTCGGAAATAAGAAGTGGCAAAGAAGGATAAGGAAATGAGAATAAGAAAGAAAGAAAGAAAGAGAAAATTTCGTGTATCCACGAGAAGCGAGCGTTTCGTTAAAGAAGACTGATGTTGTACAATTACTTAGCGTACCCTGAAAAAATTAATGCGTACATAAATATCTAGGTATATGTTACGGTGATAATGATTAAGCAATATTTTCATAAAATCACCGACTATTCTGTGGCTGATTGCTTTATAAATGTAACAAAATTTGAAGTAACATTAAAATTCGATACTTACCAATGATTTTATATATTAAAACAATTGATGCGTTTATCATGCGCTTGATTTTCTAAAATTTTCGGTGATTTGTTAAAATAATTGCATATATTTGTATGAAAAATCATTTGAATTTTTCATTTTAATATGATTGTACTAAAATCGTGGTGCAATGATTCCATGGAATTACTGAAGCTTTCATATAGAATAACTACATTAAACATCTTCACCGTAATACATACAATCTTGCGATACCCTGTAAAACAGCTGTAATGTATGAATAAAAATAAAATTTATGTATATATTAAACACATTTATTTTTAAGTAAGCCTTTTGAAAAATTATGCAATTATAAACATCATGGTTGATCAATACGCTAAAGTTCTTTTCTGCAATGACATCTATCGATCAATTTACGAAGCTTATAAAAAAAATGTAAATATTTCTGTGCTGAAAGCGCATTTAGAAACGTGCTGACAGTACTGAAAAAAATATAGTTTGTATTATGTATACCAATAATTTTCATTATTGCCAGTACATATTCCAGGGTGCAAGATGCAACCTGAACCAATCAATTAGTGTGTCGATGATTGTAGTAAAAATTACATTAATATAATATTGTTAAGGAAAACAGATATATCTCGCTGATGTATGTTTATATATTTAATTTCTTATTTATAATGTAATGATATGTTATTATTTTTTAATATGTTACACATTGTGTATTTAATGCTAAATATATCTTCAATCTTTTTTAATAATTCGCGAAAAAATATGACAGGTAGACATCGGTTAATATTTAATTTTAAACCATCGATTATTTTGAATTAATCGATAAACATCGCTCATGCTTACATGATCGACTTATCGAAAGCAAGGTCGATTGCATTGAAGGAAATGGCGGCGCATAGAGGCACGTAGCGAGCGGCTGATTATTGTGTTGCAGGATAGCCCACAATACTCTTCCTGTGAGGAACATGGAAGCCGTGAACGATGACGAGATGGTGAATAATTTGGCCCACACGGAGCGACTTATGGGCAACGAATGTCGCATCTGCCTGAAATCCTGTACAGAGGTGTGCGAACTTTTCAGGAATAACGGCGGAATATCGGAGAAGTTGATGGCAATCGCAGCCGTACAGGTTAGCTATCGCACGTCACTTTGAATTTCAAATCACTGTTTCGCGCTTTGTGTCAAAAGTACAATAATTCATTTCGTAACAAAATATTTTCTTCATTCATGTTTTTTTCTGTTGTATCCGTTTGACGAGATCGAACTTCAGGTTGTATATGAATGTTGCATTGTTTTTGTCACAATTGCAATTTCTGTCACATCATTGAGAGGAATGCAAAGGGGTATTGTTGGTTTTTATATCAGCAATTCCATTTTGGCAGATTAACCAAGCTTTTGGTTGATATCTAAGAGGATCTGTAACAAATTGATTATTTGACAATATTTTAGTTGCTGATCTTCAATTATTCTCTTGGATCAAACATTAAAATCCAAATAACAAAATAAATTCTTAAGTTTTTGAAGTATTCCTGAAGTTTCCTTCTTTTCTGAACTGTAAATTTTTAATAATGAGGCAGAAGAATATAGTAAAACTGAAGAATTGCATACATCATGATTGAGATTCGTGAGAATATCTTGGAATATTTGTATATAATTATTCCATATCAATAAATAGATACATATTTTATTCATTCAAGAGGAAAACAGAAAAAATGTTAAATCATGAGAAGAATTTAAAATTGAATAAGAATTCCGCAGAAACAAGTATTTTATAGAAATATTATAAATGAACCTAGTTCATTTGTACTCCCAAATCGATGGAAATGACATTAATGGATTTGCTCTTTATATTAACTAGAGAAACCATTTACCAATGAAGAAAACTCAAATTAATTATACTACATATTACATGCAAGTTTTAACTTACGAGAAGAGAGACAAAAGATGAAATGTTTGTGTGTGTGGATGAGTCGATTATATACACACAGTGAACATATAACAAACTGCTTGTATCATTGAAGGCATTTGCTTTTCTCAGCGACAACGTTTTGATAAAGTCGAGCAATGTGAACTATAAATGTAAGACCAACTTTATATGGATTGTAGGTAGAGGAAGGAGATGGTTTACCAGCTGCTATTTGTGTATCCTGCAACCGCCTACTTAACGTGTCGTACGACTTTAAATGCCTAATTCAAGACTCGGACGTAAGACTACGTCAAATCCTGAAGTTGCAAATTCACCCTGTACCGCACGAAAAGCACATAAAGGATAGCGCGACAGTTAAGTACATTATCACTGATGTCATATCCAACATTAAATGCATAAAAGATGATCACATGGAGCAGGAGATCTACACGCCCCACGATATCGTTACGTTCGACAATACCATGGTTCCATCTGATGCCTCAGGGTTGAACGACGACGATTCTCACATAAGCATAAGCCAAGAATTCATGCAAAAGCCGGAAACCGTGGAACAAAGTGAGAAAAATATACCCTATGGTGTGCTTAAAGAGAATGTACATAACTCTGAAATGGTAGAAGTAGCTTTCGAAGAAACGCAGGCAAAGGACATGCCTTCAGGTACACTCGTTGATCACTCGGGTCACTTGTCCGCTTTGTCTACGAACGACACGTGTGTAAAGCAGGAAGAAATGATGTTACGAGGCAGCGAAACATCGCAACATTTGGCGAACAACAATAAGCTAGAGGAAGAGGATTTGCTGAAGTTCGAAAGTAAGAACGATGTGTCGTTGGAGGATCTCGACTCGAAGGCATCTATGATGCTAGGAACGGATATTCAAGACACGAAGGGCGGGACAAACTGCAGCGACGACGAAGAGAAACCGCTGATATGCAGGACAACCCGGCAAAGGTGCCTGCATTGCATCAAGTCGTTCGCGACTAAGCTGGCGTTGCAAAGACACATGATCGTGCACAAGCACAAAACGAAACTGCGTTACGTCTGTCACATGTGCGACAAGCAATTCTCCAATATCGCCAAGCTGAAAAGCCACGTGCGCAACAATCACGAGGCGTACAAAGTGGATGTTGAAGTGCCTCAAGAGAACAATCAGGATAAGAGGACCGGCAAGGCGTCGGTGAAGGTCACTAGGAACTGTGGTGGCAATGTATTAGTAGACAGCGCGAGGGAGGAGAAGAGGAACTTCAAGTTCACGTGCAAGTTTTGCTCGAAGCAGTTTATTTACCACAAGTCCTATATATCTCACGCCAAGAGTCATCCCGAGTACAACGAAGAGACAACGACGTCGGACGACATACTCGATCAGTCCGTGAACAAGGCAACCGAGCAACGCGATAAAGCACCTGCGTTCAAGGAGAACGAATCCGAGGAGGAGGAAGAGGAGGAGGATGACGATGACAACGACAACGAGCTGCCGATCGAGAGTTTACAATGCACGCAGTGCGGGAAGCTATTTGCCACCAAGCGGAATCTGAAGAGACACATCTCCACGCACAGCGGCTTGAAGTTCAACTGCTCGACCTGCGGCAAGGGATTCTCCAGGGTTGACAAGCTGAAAGACCATGAACAGTCGAAGCATAAGGAGGAGATCTTCGGCAATACAGACGACGAGGATGACGACGAGGAGGATAATGAGAATAAAATCAATGAGAATTCCGAGGGTCGAAAGAAGGTGAGATTTTTTTATATAATTCCGTGTGTAATATGTGTATATTGAACCGTTCACTTCTCTATTTGAATGTTATTTCGCGAGGAGATCATGTCTCGACATCTACTGATAATAATGATGAACTTGCGAAATTAAGAAATTCATTAATTAAATTTTTGATCCCAGAAAGATACAGGTTTTGTTAAAATTACTTCTTAATCGACGATAAATTTCACTTGAACATCGCATGTATTTTTCATCTTCACTACGGTCTCCGCGAGAATAAGAGCTTTGTTATTCCCATAAACTCGGTTCACGAAGTTATAGTGCAAGCGTCTTCGACAAAACGACTACAATAAGTCTCCCTTTGGCTGCAGGACCGACACAACAGACCGCACAAATGTGTGCTCTGTCCGAAGGCGTTCGCGCAGGCTCAATCATTGGCGAACCACATGGAGAGGCATAAACGGGTGAAGGACACACAGAAGCGCTTCCTCTGCGAGGTTTGCAGCAAGTGCTTCGCCCAGAGCGGCTCACTAGTCGCACACATGCGCACCCATACCGGCATCAAGCCGTACGTGTGCAGCATATGTAGCCGTGCCTTCACCAAGAGCACGTATCTGCAGTTACACTTGAGGACTCACAGCGGCGAGAAACCGTACATCTGTCAGTATTGCAGCAGGGCGTTCGCCCGGGCTAACACGTTAGCGCGACACATCACGATGCATACTGGCGAAGCCAAGTACCACTGCCAGATCTGCAACAAGTCCTTCCGCAGACTGACCTCGTTGAACGAGCACACGTACACGCACACCGGCCAACGGCCGTACGCGTGCAAGCTCTGCACCAAGCGGTACAATAACGCCGGCTCTTTGTACGCGCACACGAAGAAGTGCAAGACGCAGCAGTTGTCCGGCACGACGACCACGTACAGTGTGGCCGCGGATAACGTTCCGCCAGCGCAGAACGACGGCCCGATGTCGCAGCTGCTCATCTACTCGCAGAGAAAGCTGGTGGAGGAAGCGACGGTTGGTCAGGTTGTACCCACGCCGCAGTATATGGTAGCGAATGTACATAGTCAGAAGACGGTATCCGCCAACGTGATCCAACCGTTCACCGTGGAGGACCCGAATGTGTACAACACGAAGCAGTTCAAGAGTCCTTACTACGCTATTTATCCAAATATGTAACGACGTGTCGCCGCCGAATATGTGACCACGTCCGATGGTTGCTTGATCTTTCGGCTGCCTTGAATCATCAATGACTCGTGTCTTACTATCGACTCGCGGTAATCTCTTCAGTCGTTCAGGATCGGAGATCGAGTCGGCGAGCTTTATAACATACTGGAAAGAGAACACACGTGGGTTCTACGCAATGATCTCGAGGAAGAGAACGTCCAGTGCTCTTTCTCTGTCTCGTACATATTACACGAACTGAAAATGTCAACTTGAAGGTACATATGGGTAAAGTATGGATAAAGCATATCCGTATTGTGTGTCGTAGAGACTCGAAGAACTACACATTTGAGAGATATTAAGACAATAGAAAACTGTAACATTAGAGAAAAAGAGAGAGACCGTCTTTCAAGTCACAACTATAAATCCGTCTTGAAAACGTTTTCTGTCCAATAGACCCAGTTTGACTTTAACGGTGGTTCTCCTTCCAGTATATTGTATGTTTGGATGAATCGAAATGGCAGTTTTTAAAATAATAACGAAGAGGAGGAAGGGTAAAAAAAAAATTCTTCGATAAGACTATGTAGCTCAAAAAAGTTGGTTCGACAAAATTCTCGGTGTTCTGCTGAGCCACATAAATTAAATTTACGAATATGAAAACAAATCATGTGAATAATCATTTTCATTCCGACGATAGCTGTTAAACTAAATGAATAATGATAAAATCAATATAAAATACGCCTGCACACAAAAAGGAGGTATAAACAATTTAGCTCGGATATTGTGATGTTTATCCGACATCTCAACAGATGCAGTATCTCGCGTACATTGTACAGGTCGTAATAGTATTGCGTTGAAACCAAAAAGACGAAATTAATCGTATTACCTCGCTGCAAAACCGAAACTCGAAATATTTCATTTGCCTTATTTTCCGTGTTTTCTCCTCTCTTTCGAAAGTAGGAACGCCACGAAACAGGTATGAAAGTAAAAATATGAGGTAGAGAAACATCGATCCTCGAAATTTAAAATAAAAATGTTCCAAATCTACTTAGCGGGAAGGAAATATTTCTTCCTTTATACGGAAGAACAAATTTATTTATCGATTGAAGAATTACATTAACCGATATTTTACTGCGGAAGAAGTCCATTGAACGAGTACAGTAATATTTTACGAATAACTCAGGTTATAAAAAAGTTAGATTTCTGACATAACAATGTACAAAATACAATGAAAATGACGACAGGATTAGAAAAAAAGGTAAAGATGCTGATCTTTTCACAAGGAATTTATGGGATTTGTATAAATGAATGGATTATGTACTAGAATAATTCTTTTCCTTAATTATAGGTAGTTATGAATCATTGGTTTACATACGGTTACACGTATACTGTGTGTCCCGTCAATATTGATAGTAAGGGATCCTTTCTTTTAATAATAATTCATGATCAAAGATCGTAATTGATCGCATAACATTTTATCATTAAAATATTTTGATATAAACTTAAAGAATATATAATGTTCGTCAACATTGTATTATTTAGAATTAATGTCTATTGACAGAATTTACTTAAAATGATTTTATTTCGTTAAATTATATATTTTGATAAAATTAATATAAGATATATCTTTTTTCCAGGCCAAGGTAGGGTGAGGTGAAAGATGTTTGAATAATTATATTAAATATAATAATTTTTCGGTATAAAGACTGGAGTACAATAAATAAATTATTACTTTTAATGTAAGAGTAGACGATATCATGAAATATCTCGAGTGTAAAAAAGATGATTATCTTTAAATTGTACACAACACGAAAAGGCAACCAGTGAGAAATTGATTTTATATTATGCTTTTATTGTAATTATGTACAACATATACAGCAAAATCGATCTTCGCACGAGTACTCCCAACAACTTCCTTCTTGCGTAATGTACAGGGTGTTTCGAGAACAAGATCGAATATAAATATATAAATAATTGTAAATAGTACCCAAGATAAATTATATTATGTGTTTGTAAATGTAGCAGATGTTTCAGAAGTGATTCGCTTATACTTTTATGCAGCATCGGATATCGATAAGGCTAATACACACATACACACACACACACAGACACATACATATATACACAATGCAATATTTTATAATAAAGTTTCTAGAAAAAGTGTCGTGTCTCGTATCATACTCCTGCCTCCTGGACGATATGAATTCACATTAGACTGAGTCGAAAAATCTATCGTTTTGTAATTTTTGCAATAGTTAAGGAATTAACTCGAATTTAGCAAGCGACGAGCAGCAACGAGCAAGTACTGTCCAGCATGATCATGTCTTGCCTCTATATTTCATGCATTTATTTATTTATATTTCATGTATATTTCACATACATCTTACTTATAATTCATATATATTTCATGCATGTGTATTTTATTTTGAATGAATCAACAGGACACTGCATTTTTCCATTGCACGTCATTCTAACGAGGAAACATCTCGCGATGCGATAAGTTCGATTTTCACCGCCCGAGCCTTGAACTGCGTTTATATATATATATATATATATCTCCCTCGGAAACCCGTGGAAAAATCGCCGCTTCTCGACGTACCACTAGCATGAAAGAAAAATGATCGCCCGCTGTTTTCGAGCGCGGAAATATTAAACTGTATTCCTGCGGGTCTTCGAGGACGAGAGGCACTGCGGGGGCCGCGGAGGGCGATGTCCGAGATCACTAACCAATATTTAATCAACTTTGCAGGAGAATATTATTCTCCGGACAAATCAAGGACATATGTATCAGACCGTCAAGGGGGAACCAGTATTGTTCGCGTGTGTTGATACCGAAGCGCACACGCACATTTGTGTTTGCGCGTCGCCTTCGGAGCATTCACAGTGGCGTAATCCTGGAAACATCCCCTTGAAATTGCGAGATTACGGAACGTTATCGACCTTTATCGGCTTGAGAGAAGTTTTTAAGAAATGAGGAAACTGCTTTACACAACTCTGTCGTGCGTATGTGTACGTACGGTAATTGTATAATTACCGTACCACGAGTCACGCGCAAGCGTTGATCAATTCTTGCCGACGTCGGCAGAGGAAACAGTTTACCGCAATGCTTCGTATGATTTATGCACGAAGAGTTGAACGCCCATAATTGGACGACGATTAATTTGATCTCGCTTATTATTTCGACTTCACGCCAATTCAATCTGTTTTATTCTGTTCGTTCGCGAGAGAGGTGGCTGCACTTGCCGTTGCTGCTTGTGCAGCATCGACGAGACATATCTCGTGCTTTATACGTGAAATTTATCAGAAAGGCTACGCCTATGTGGCCTATGTTTCATATGTTTACGTGCATATGCGTATGTATTGGTGTGTACCGCCCCGGAGACGGCAGCGTGCGACACACGTTCCACGTGCCGGGAACGGTATTCTCTCGGGATAAGATTCAGGGAAGAGGGTGGAACACCGCGACTGTGCTCTCATCGTGGCACTCTCGTGAGAACAAGTGCAAAACAAATGTCGCACAGAAGCCGGTCGACCGACGCGACGCGCTCGCGAAAATTGTTTCTCTAGGTTGAGATAAATCAAATTTCCCCTCGCATCTCTCCTGCTCGTCTGACACCCTTATACTATCACCGCGAAAAGGATATGAGAAATTCCAATTTGTTTGCAGGGTGCCGTCTTACCAGAAGGATGAGATAGATACACGCGGCGTCTTTTGGAATTACCGCGATGCTTCGTGTATGCAGATACGATCATTCGATGGTTTAATTTGCCTTCGAAGAACCCGACGGGTGTCCATATCTCTGGTGAGTCACCTGAACGTTCCCACAGTTGGGAAAGTTTCTTTTTCGTAGTAACTCGATAACGATAATGTATCTTACTCAATAATCAGTCAAGAGGTAGAAAGCGAGTCGTTGACAATTTTCGTTACTACTTTCAGCGACTTTTCGAGATTTTATTTTACAACTCGTCGCGCCGCCCGAGCGTTCGTTACCCGAAAAAAAAAAAAAATATATATATATATATATGCATAACTGTTACCGCCGCTGACGGAAAAAAAACAAATTGCGCCATTGTCAATTGATCGTTACTGGAGAAAGTAATTAGTAACAGTAACGATGTTACTGGTAACACATGATTTCTCGGTCCTGCACTTTCCCACGCTATGATCGAATTTATGACGTCATTCTTTTTCTGCTTACTCGTTTAGTCATTTTTTAGCGTCTCTTATTTCACCAGTAAAAACTCACGTTTTGACAAGCTGAAGTGAAAAATTAACTGACTATCAACGATACTTATTTGTCATTGTGATATTTTCGGCAGGTCAGTTTTACATAAATAAGACGTATTTGTAGTGTAGTTTCTCTTGCGATTAGCGAGAACATTCAAGAAATTTATCAATGAACATCTCAAAGAACTATCAACAACTGAAGCCGCATATACCGCGGATAACGAAGATCTCTGTTGATTGGTAATTTTAATTTCAGCTCGTCAGAACGTGAACGTTTTAATTTGCGAAATAAGATACAACCCCCGTCATCATGCGCGGCGATTTATCTCACTGCAGATCAGCGGTGATCCTTATGGCGCTACTGAAGAGTCAGGTGCCGGCCAGCGGTGACCGCCATGGCAGTCTCAACGCGTGAATCTCAGCATGACAAAAGTCACCCTCTGTCTCTCGGAAACAACGTCGGACAATTCGGCCGACGAACGATTATCGGCGACTCTCGTCTACATTGAATTCGCTCGGGACGATCGATCTCTCTGATGCGCTACGACGATATCGCGAAATGACATTATGACGACCCCCCTGGACATTAACCCTTTACGCTCCAAGCGTACACCTTGTACGGCGAACGTAACCCGAAATCACCTAGAAAACTCGAGAATCGCCGCGCGACTGCGGCCTGCGGCCTGCGACTTAGAAATGAAAATTCTCAAGCGAGCCCACCGAGCCGACGCGATTAGAAGGCTCGAGGCCGATTAGAAATCCGAGAAGCGCCGTCGCGGCGTTCCTCACGATTTTCCGAGAAACTCCAAATGGCGCCGGCTGCGGCAACCCTCGGAGCGCAAAGGGTTAAACGGCCGAAGAGGCGACCGAAGAGGCTGCGTCGACACGTGACGCGGGGGTTAATCCAGGCCGCGCGAGACGAGCGGCACGGCACGGCACGCCACGCGAGAGTAGGTGTAAACAGGTCCGAAGGTCGCTCCGCCGCGCGCAACGGGACGCGACACAGCCCTGCTGGCTCCTCGCGTCCACTGGAGCGGCGTCCAGGACGCGGCGGTATCCTCCGTCGTGCCGACGTCCTCGTCCGCGCGCGGGATCGATCGTAAAGCCGCGGGGTGGGGTGGCGTGGCCGGAGGGGCGCGTCATCGAATGATAGCACTCATTCGGGCTGATGGCCGTTTGGAGAAGAGGGCCGTCTAGCCTGTAACCCGACGGGGGTGGCATCGGCTGTGCGTGGCTGGGGGTAGCGCGGGAGGGCGCAGCGTGCGGCATTTACCGCCGTGGCGCGCGCGAGGGCGGTGTTTCCAACCCCCGACTTCGCCACCGTGCCGACGCGCTCGGCGGCGAATCAGCTTCCGGTGGGCGAACGCCCCGCGAAAAGCAACCCCCGCGGGACCAGCCACGGCCACACCCATGCTCTCCTACCCGCGGCGCCGGCGGTTATTGAATTAAGCTTATCATTTGATTTTGAGGAGACCCACCAGTCGGTCGTACGGGGCGCTCTTAAGCGGGCCGAAAAACTTCTTCCTATCCACGGTGTAATCGCAATAATTTGATATCGCTGATCCGATTACGCGTCATAAGCCGCTATCGAGGAGCCCTGCCGGCGGCACGGCCCGGTTCCCGTTTCTCTGAAGCGTCGCCGACAAGAGAGAGAGAGCGGCTCTCGTGCGCCGCTATTGCCGCTCGTGGTCTACCCGGGACTTTCCCGTGGTCGAGCGGGCCCAAGAACGCGCGTGTGGCCGAACGGGCCCCGGACAAACAGCCGTGCGCGCGATATTCTTCCTTCTCTTCTTCTTCGCTACTGGACCTCGCGCGTCGTCTCGCGTTCATCGCCGTGTTCCGACGCAACGAGTGTGCTGCTGCTGCTGCTGTTGTTGTTGTTGTTGTTGTTGTTGTTATTGTTGTTGTTGTTATTGTTGTTTTCTCCTTCTCCGTTCCCGTCGAGAAACCGAATCTCTCGACGCATAGTCGAGCGCACAGGGACGTATCCTTGTTTCTGTCCCGGGACATTTACCGATGTGGTGAAAAACGTGACACGATCCTTTCGAGTGCCGTTCGTCATTCGGGCTCTCTCTCTCTCTCTCTCTCTCTCTCTCTCTCTCTCTCTCTCTCTCTCTCTCTCTCTCTCTCTTTCTTCCTCCCTTTACCCGACGAGGCAACCCCTTGGCAACCCGTCGCCGGAGTAGTGCGCTTCGCCGGGGCAGGCCGCGAGATACCGGAGTGTCGTCGACGTAGCAACGCCAAGTGGGATTCCTCCGCGGCCGCAGCCGAGCCGCGTCATGGACTACTCGTATCTGAACCAGGCCGCGGCGGCGGCTGCCGCCGGTTTCGAAGCGTCCAGCTGCGCCTTGGCCGCCGGCGAGATGCAGTGCAGCTACGGCGACCTGAGCTCCTGCTCGCAGATGAGCCAAGCGGCATACCGCTACACCGCGGCACGAGCCGCCGGTTATCCCAGCAACGCCGCCGCTGCCGCGGCCGGTGCCGCCGCTGCTGCCGCTGCCGGCGGCACGCCGCTCGCGGCCCATCACACCGCACACCCCCACGCTCACGCGCACCATGGGGCCCACTCGACCCCGTGCTCCGTCATGGCCGCCAGGTCCCAGGAAGTCCACCGGCACGCCGCCTCCATCTTCCCCTCGGCCATTAATCTCCAGAGTGAGTGTCCACGTTCTCGATCTCTCGCACACGTTCGCGCTCGAGATCGCTCGAGGCGATTTCTTTTCTTCGTTCGTTTTCCTTTTGTTTCCTTCGTTCATTAACGTGCTCGTTTCCGCACGCGTGGAATTTCCGCCTGTCGATTGTCTCATTCGATGTGATCTCCAGCGACGGGCGATCGACGCTCGAGTGTCCCGCCGGGATTACTTGCTCTTGTTGCAGCCGTTGTCTCTTGTAATTTTGCGGCTGCGTGGGGGACGTGGGGTAGTTATTTGTTATCTTTTACTCCGTAGACGAGCGAAACGGACGTGGTAGGACTGACGACGTTATTGGCCGGCGAGTCTATGCGAATTACGGTTAACGGACGCGCTGCTGTGATACGCTTGTGGAGCACGAGCACACATCTATGACACTAATGTTTGTGCGCTCCGTCGTGTTAATTGATAATACGCTTGTCGGTTTGACGCATCGCGTCCTGAACGCGCTGCGAATAAATCGAACGAACGAGCTGTTGGCTTATAAAGTAGAATCGGGGTAGAATCGCGGTGGAAGCGTAATTCTCCGGACCTGCGGCAACTTCGCGATACGCAGCGAGCCGACGTTACCGTCGTAATTGCGTTATTTTCGTCTCGGATAGGCGACTCGTTGTATTTCGTTCGAGATTATCCCTTCGGAAATATCAAAGGAGAGCCGTCCAGTTTGGATATTAAACACTTGGTTCGCTCTGTAAATATTCCCTTTCATCAAAATCTCTCGTTTCACTGTCGAGTACAGTAACGTGAATTAACAACGCGTGCTTCAAGAAGTCTTCGAGGGTCATGCAACGCGACTAAATCAATCGGATGATAACGTACGCGATAAACGAGCAATCTCGAATCGTCGATCAACGGTGCGCGTTCTCAAATTATCGTTATTACGTGAGCTAACATCGGGGGGCGGGGCGAGGGGGAGAGGGGGCAAATTAGCGCTACTCGTTGTACCGCGAAAAAATCATTACAGGATGTCTGATAATTATCAGGTACAGACTGGTCATATATGCGATGCTGGACTGCACAGCTTCGTGGTCCAGCATCGCTATCGACAAGAGACTGTAAACGAATCTAAGACATCTTCCTCAAGTCGTGCCTTCAGACGACCTTCGTCCTACTGTCTAGTTACGACCGTCCGGCGATGTTGTTTAATTCATTTCGCAGTAACTGTCGAAGATTGCACGAAACAATTGAGAACTTTCCCGTTGACTTCAGCACGCTCTACCGCGAGTGTCGCTACGGTAATTACCAGACATCCTGTATAATCGTAAAATTGTGGAAAAACGACTCGGCCACGTAGCGAAGAGCCGGCAGGATCCGTGGTGGATGCTTGAAAAAAGTCGGAAGATAGGCGGAGAGTAAATCCTGTCACCGAGGTAACGCGCTCACCTTCGCGCTCGTGTTCTCCGCCCATTTTCTCCCGTCCCTGTAGGACCGTACTTTCGCGAGGACTCGATGGTCGATTCGTAGGTGAAGGCCTCGATTGTGAAGGTGCGCTTGCGAAAGAAAAAAAGGAAGAAGGAGAGAAGCGCGAAGGGGAATCGTACAATATCGATCCGCGCAACGCGTTTCCCGCGTAGAAAAGACTCTTTAGCCGGAATTGATCATCTTGCACCGGAAACACGTGCGAATCTACACGTTGAATTAAATGCGCACACAATTCTCCCATGTCTCCGCACCGGAGAGATGACACATTAGATTAGCGCTGTTAACTCGAAATAATAAACTCGACGCCGACCGCGTCGAATTTTCGCGACGAACTTCTGCTGCTTTAAGCAGAAACAGAATCAACTTCCCTTCGATAGTTGATTTCTTCTAGTTGATTCTTCGATAACGTCGAGTAGTTTTTTCAGGTTCAAGCGAATTCCTGAAGACACCAATGATGTCTCAAATTTTTTATTACTTCTTTTTCGTTCAATTACAATTTCGTTATTCCGACCGAATGTCCTTCTTTTGTACGCGATCTTTCACGTTGCAAACGCAAACGTTTTTCCGAGCAACCGCGCCCTGCGAAATTATGTCCAACGTCATTAGCGCCGATAATTATCCGTCCGTTTCACATCCGATACTCGAATAAATGCAGCGTTCATATTTTACACGTTCCCCCGCGTTCGCTCGTGTCGCTCGCGAGTCCGACTGGAACGTCTTCGCGCGCTATTTCGAACGAGCTCGCTCATGAAATAGCTGACACGAGCGACATCGCGCACGTTAGAGATTAACGTTAGCAACGTTGCTCGCGGTAAATAAATAATCGCGCTATATTCCGCGAGTCTCTGGGACTTAGCCGGGAACTCCTTTATACGCGCGTCAATCCGTCGGCCTGTGAATGCTCTGGGCGCTTTGTTGTGTTTGTTTCGGCGATTTAGAAGGGGCTAAACGCGTCGCGCGAGCAGGGAGAGACGCGCTAAGCTCCCTTCGTACCCTACTTGATAATTGATCTCGATTGAATTCAACATCTCGCACATGTGTTTCGTCGGCGACTCTACGGCGCACCGCCGTAGAGTCACCGTCACGCAACGACAGATTACGCAACGCAGTATCCGTTATGCTTCACAATTAACGCTTTATGGACCGAACTCATTGGCCTGAGAAGTCGCTTGTGAAATCATTACTGGAGCGAGACACTCGGCCGTGACAGGTTGATTCTTCCGCGCGTCGCTCACGGTTGTTTGGACAGTTTGATCGGTTCGCTTCTCAAAGCGCTATTCTCTTTATTTTAGGGCGAAGGCAAAACGTTCTCATAGGACAAGACTTTTTCCAAACTCCTGTTAATTCAACCGACGATCAAGCAGCAGAATTGTCAACAATTGTCAGCAATTTCTGATTGTGAAATCCGTCGTCTGATGATGACCAAAGAGTTAACAATTCTGTGTAGTTAGCAAAATAGAACGATTAATGCTTGATTTACGGCGATTTCAAAGTTATCAAGAAAGGACGTGTGAGAATTCCTTGCTCGGTTTGACAACAAACTTCGTCGTTCAGTTTCTTTGTTGGCAACTTTGCCGGCTGAATTAATCGTCGATTAGCTCAATCAGAATTTGTATTCTTGCTTTCGTTAACACTTTGAGTGTTAATTTGCCGTCGACTATCGCGTCTCAGTATTTACAGCTTGTAGAATCACGATCAGCCAGAGTTCCTGCAATTCTTGCAGATTTCTTCTTGAGAATGAAACAAAGGCTGTGTTTCCTTCGGCCTTTACTGCTTCCTGCCTCAATGCTAATGAGAGCGCAAATGAGCTCCTGGGAAATAATTCAGGTATCGAGTGATCCGTAAAGATCGCCGAACTCGAACAAATTCGATCGGTGAATTCCGACAAGCGAGCGCGCGTCTACCGAAGCTGAGTGCGAGCTGAGTGAAGTTGAGGGAACAACGAATGACCGACTAAGGCTTGTGACTTGTGAAAACTCTGTATTGGGTATTAAACTTAATTAAAGGATCTTTTTGTGAAAATGAACGTTTATTTCGAAACGAAAGTAACAAGTACATGTTATTCAAAGTATTGTCCATCGTTAGCTACAACTTTTTCCCATCTTTCTAGTAAAAGGCGGATTCTTCGGCGAAAGAACGACTCGTCTTTTGTGGTTATCCATGAATCGAGCCATTTTTTTATATCTTCTAAAGTGCTTCTGAAGTGCTGGGCAGAAAGGTGATTCTGCATGGATCGAAACAAGTGCAAATCAGAAGGAGCAATGTCTGGTGAATACGGCGGGTGGGGTAGAACATGCCATCTGAGCAACTCTAGCGTTTCCGGTTTAGCGACATGCGGCCAAGCCATTGTCATGTTGGAAAATCACTTTGTCGTGTCTTTTGGCGTATTCTGGTCGTTTTTCTTTCAATTCTCGGTTTAGCTGTACTAGTTGTTGTATCGATAACGGTCCCCAGGAATAGTTTCGCCAGGTTTTAGCAGCTCATAATAGACCACACCCTTCTGATCCCAGCAAATACAGAGCATTACCTTCGAGCGATGGATAAGTGGAAAATCTTCACTTTTGAATCGTCTAAACCAGTACTCACAAGTTGAGATCGATGGAGCATAATCCCCATAAGCTTCGGACAGCAAACGAAGACTTTCAGCTGCCAATTTTTTTCAAATGGAAACAAAAAAGTAACGCTTCCCGCAAATTGCGTTTCGTTGCCACAAAACTCGACATATTGAGTGCGCTAAAAAATATGTTATTTATACTTCGACCAAATAAAATATACTGATTCTTGAAGCCTAATGACAGGGCTTTCATATGAAGTTGGCTTCAGTATGGGCCGATGCCGTTAGGTGCTCATTACGCCATCTCTTGTAAATCCTTTAAAATTAAGTTTAATACCCAATACTAATGTTGTGCGCGTTTGAATTTGGATTCCAGGCGGTTTGGGATACAAGGCTTACTCGGGGCACGACGGTCTCGCGGAGAAGAGGAAACAACGTCGGATACGAACGACATTCACGTCGGCCCAGCTGAAAGAGCTGGAACGCGCGTTTCAGGAGACACACTACCCGGACATCTACACCAGAGAGGAGATCGCTATGAAGATTGACCTGACGGAGGCTAGAGTGCAGGTCAGTGCATTATTCCCGTTGGACAATCAGTCTTCATTCGTGAAACTCCACATGTTGAATCAGCGACTGCGTCATTCCCTCTTATCAGTGGGAAAAATTGAGTCTCTGCAAGAGACGTTGAATGCGAGGATTCCAGTGAAAATTCCATGTCGCAAAGCATCGAAAATATCGAGCGATGAGATACGGCGGGCTAATACGGCGATCGAAATCACTTCTCACGATCTTTGGCGAAAACGAGGCTTGGGGCGAAAGGGAGGAGAAAACGACATTGTCTTTCTCGGATCATACGTCATATCGTGTTGCATATCGCGCGCAGTTCGCTCAGTTCGCGTTGCAAAGAGAGGGATGTCGACGGAAAGTCGAGGGTGAGTTGGCAGAAGGAGCGTAGTATAATTACATTATAGGCTCCATTTTCGTTTTCACGGCTACCTGCAGGTCGCAAACTGATGGATTATACTGTCTAATACGCTTGACGGATTATCATGAACTTCTCGCGTGAGAGATGAACGGTTTAGGAATTGTACGGTTATTATTCGAAAATTGTTCTTCTTCGCTGTGCGGCAGTCCGATTACGCAGTATCGTCTTACTTTCTTGTCTTTCACATTCGCGTCGATACACACACACACATACACACACATACATACACAAAATACGGCATTAAACGATAAACCGTGATCTCTCGCGAAAAAATTCCTCTCGTTTCGCGCAATTTTATTTACATGGTAATTTCTGGAAATTCGATCATGACGCAAATCGGGAATCTATCTTTTATGCATGAGGATAATTCCCAATTTACAGTAGTTTAACAAACAAGCTGAATTTTCTTGAACGTGACAAGTGAAACTTGAAAAAAATGTATGGTCTCACATTTTACGCGAGTCGACCTGCGTCGTTTTCAAAAAACGCGTTTATCGTGGAAATCTAGACGCATACCAATATAAAATGCTAATTCTACGTTTCCAATGATTGAAAAATATTATTCATATTTTGATCTTCCAAAATATTAAAAATATTCAAATATTTGAAAAACCACGGTATATTCGGTATTTATTCCTTTCTTATTTTTCTACTGAACAACATCGCGTTGACATTGAGAGAAAGAGTGCGGCATATTTTTCAAATTCGGCAAACGAAACTCGATGATGAAGCCCCAAGGTAAAATGTGTTAATTAACATTCGCTTAAAATCCAAGCTTGATCTGTCGATTCTTGCTGAAAATCACCAATTCCGCGATATCGAAATCTGCATCGTTAACTCTCATTCAACCACTACAAACCATATTATGTAAATAGATAACCAACTACTTGCTGGTTCAGTACTGGATAACAGATTCTTCGTCGATGGTCGATCACCACAGATCGATCAAGCGTTGGCAACACTTGACTATTCTATAAGGAATACACATTCAAACAGACGTTCATCAGCTGCGCGACTATCCTACAAAATGAACGGGGAAACGACGCGTTGTTTGTCGCGTCTTCCTCGCGGACTTTGTTCCCCCGCTCTATGAAAAGACATCCTGGAGTTATTCGCTCACCTGAGGACACAGGTGCCGCGGGTAGGGCAGGGCAGGGCAAGGCAGTTGAGGTACATGTACGGTAACGCAATTAGATGGTTCGCCAGACGCTAGAGGGTCCTAAAGTTAGATTTCCCGACTGACGTGCATTACTTAAGTACCTCGCCGAATCTCATTCAGATTATCAACGACGACGACGACGGCGACGACGACGACGACGACGACGACGACGACGACGACGACGACGACGACGACGACGACGACGACGACGACGACGATGACGACGACGAGCACGGATGATCTCGCCGGTTTCGTCGGTAGTAGAAAGCAAGGTGGACGGGCGGCCGGGGGAGCAATAAATTTAATCTGATCTCCCGCTCCCGAGACGTAGGCGCGGATTAATATAACGTTCGTCATTGGCGATCGCGATATTATTACACAGTAAGCGAGATTACGGGAGGCGATTTGACGACGACCGAAGTGGTACCGAATCGCACTCGCTATTTGCGGCAATCGCTTGATATTCTAACGTATGTAATTCACTTTTCCACGACGACGCGATCAGCTCAGCGGCGGCGGCTTGGCGGAGGTTTCGTAGTTACTTAAGCTGTCGTTAACCCCTTGACCCTACCGCATCGATGTTCGCTGGTACCTTTGTGTCGTTCGGGATGTCGTCAACAATCACACTTGAGAATACACGCGGTACGCAATTTAGTATTCTGACTGAACGTAATAGCGCGATAAAACGTCCCATTTTTGTGAATTGACGAAACCAACTTCCTTCATCATGAAACGCCGATCTGAGGAATTGATAAAATTTTGTGAAAAAAAAACGATGTTATTAATGATAGCGGCTTTCGATTTTGCATGTTGCAGCATTTCAATAGCTCGATTTTACTTGTGGAATATTTACGTTCTTATTTCTTTTTTTGTTTTTATAATCTTTCCATATATTAGCTTCAATATTATATTTTCAATATCACTGAAACAGGTTATGTGGTTTTAATTCAAAGACAATGAGATGATGGTTAAAGCAAACGCAAAATATAATCAAATGTACTCGATAGTTCATCATACGATTATCTATTTTGCTGATGTCGGAATAAATAAGATATTGCTCGTAAAGTATGAGAAGCGAAAATTACTTATTATATTTCACCAACATCGAGATCCATTGAATTAGTGTCTAACTGAAACATCGTGATTTAAAAATATATGCCGGTATCTTTGCACTTGCCGGGTGGAAATGAAACTGCTTATTCTATCTTGAGAAAAGCGAAAGAACGGACCATTCGCGTAAAATATGCGTGCTTTATTTTTACATGTATCTTCATTGTCATATTTTATCCATTCACGTGGATCACCGTGCAAGCTTCTTAAATCTTTCGAAATATAAATTTCCTTCTTAGAACCACCTGGATCTTTCATTCCTTGTTTTCTCTTCTCGCAATTCCTTTGAATGTTAACGCTTCGAATCATCTAGAAGATTATTATTTGCCAAATTTGTAGTGCTGGCCCAACAGATGGATTAGTCGAATGATAACCAGGGCCCAAGAGTGCTAAATAATAATGACCTAACGATTGTACATAATTTCCACAATGTTCAATGCCAATAATAATCAAATTTAAATAATTTTACCGCCGAAACGTTTCATATCGATGGACATTTCAGCACTAGATTTATTCACACTTTGTCCTCGCATAAATAATCGAATACATATACATTTGCGTGAGTGCGGTCAGAATAATTAATTTTTGGCAAATGCAAATAGATACAGGTAGATAATATGAGTAGGTCGCGCCGCTGGAATATCGCCGTAAAACAATGTACAAGCGCATCGTTTAAGCAGGCGATCAATTGTTCGCCAAGGTACTGGTGGCCCAGTACCGAATGGCACATTGCTGGTCAACGGTGTATAGCTATACAGGGTGTCTAATAATCATTGTACCGACGCTTATGTGCACGTACGTAGTGCATTAGACTAATCGACAAAGTCCCTATATCCTTTAGCGATATTCGCAGTAACCGCTGAGAAATTAATTAAAGTATATCAACGACAGCGCGACGAAATTCCGCAGGCAGAGCTCGAAGCTGACTTCCTCGACTTGTTTACAATCTCACCTACGGGCGATACGCGAGCGATAAGTGCGTGTGATCCAGCAGTGTACGCCGCTCGCTGCCGCAGGATATGGTAAACAACCCCAAAACATGTTCGTTAAGCCGAGCATGAGAGAACTCGTAGGAGCAAGTGAATCGGGAACGTCGCGACGTGAAATTACGCGGGCGTGCTCGTCCGCAATCGCGTCTTATTCCGCGACGACGTTGAACGGTCGCGCGTTCTCGCGCGTATCACGAGCGAGGACCGCGCGATAATGAAGCGCGAGATAACTATTAATACCCGAGTAGTTTGCGGGTTCGCGGCGCAACCGCCATCTCCGGCGAGGTTGATTCTGCCGCGGTGGGGTAAGTCCTTTGTCTGCTCGACTTTGCCCTCTTCTCCGCCCTCCTGCGCCCTCCCTTCCCGCACCCTCCGCTGCTGCTCTTCCTCCTTAGTCCTGACAGAACGCGCGCAGTCCCTCAAGAGTTCCCTCGTTCCTTTATTCGTGATTCGTTCGCTCGCTGCCGCGAGTTACCCTACTCCCGTTGTCTTCCTACCCTCCGACTCACCCCCGTCGGCCACCCATCCCTCTCGGCCCTCCATCTCGTCGATGGCGGCTGCTCGATAAAATATCCTCCCTCCCGCATCGCGAGTCATTGGCTTCCTCTGCGCCCGCTTCTCCTCCCGCTCGTCCTCCCGCCGCCAGGGGTGCCTTCCTAATCGGCTGCCATTACTATCTCTTCCTCTTTTTTTCTTCTTCCCTCGATATCTATAGTTTCCGTTTAACGTATAGTGTCAATTGAGTTATGCGGCAATGTTTCCGTTAAACTCTTTCGTCGTCGCGCGTTATCCGCTGTTATATTTCTTCTTCTTTATATCTCACTTAGGATACTTCCCCATCTCGGCTCTCCCATTGTTACCAATTTTGTAGACCCTCTCTCTCTCTCTCTCTCTCTCTCTCTCTCTCTCTCTCTCTCTCTCTCTCTCTCTCTCTCTTTTCCTCTTTTCCTCCCTCTCCTTCTCTTTCTAGTTTTACCTTACGCTGTGCGACGCATAAATCATGTTACGTAGACACATGCTCACCGGAATTTTAATAAAATAAAGCGTATGCTTTAAAATTCGAGATTTTTTCGAACAAACTGTTCTTCCCCCGATTGTCATTTGTTTCACGTGACTGTTTCTTTTTTTCCCATTTGATTTCACGTGAACTGTGTAAGGAAAGAACGCTATGAGACCGGGCAGACGCATTAGCGCATAATAATCACACTGAGTTCATTATATAATATTCCTTGTTAAGAAGAGAGAGAGAGAGAGAGAGAGAGAGAGAGAGAAAGAGAGAAGATTCGTCAAGAATAAGGGATTTCTTATGAAACTTCGATCATAA